AAAAGGTGCCACGTAACGCTTTAGTCCATGGATAATAATAAGCTGTTGATGGCAAGTATGTGTGTGTGTGTGTGTGTATATACATAAAAGCTGCCATTTTCATCACCGAATTCCAGAACATTCGAACAAAAGAAATGAAGGCAAATTTTCGCAAATTCGTTGAATAAAATGACACGGCTCGGGGAAAATATATAAAACGCAATAAATTTATAAAATTTTTGAAACTGTCCGGAAAGGGCGTGAATAATGAATCATCATTTTAATATGTACCCGTGGGATTATAATTTTTTTTTTTACCCAACCGCAGATGCTTGAGGGGTATCAAGGGCAAGGCTGAAGTCTGAATACCAAATGCTCCTGTCCAATAATGTCTGATGTGCGAGGCAAGAATGTTAATAAGTACCTCTTGATGAATAATTGATTAGCTTGAATACGATCCTTGGCTATTTGCATCGTATCAGAGCGAGGTTGTGGGTTTACTATTTAAAAAAAAAAGGTATTTACTAACGGTTATTTCACGATGACTTCATTGCAAAAAGTTGAGAAACATACGATAGGTGTCACCAAAAATTGTGCAAAAAGGCGCGGAATTTGGAAATAAAACACTTTAATCAGGTGTGGGGTTCTCGTCAATTAATCTTGAGCATTCGAGACCTTCCTCATGTTTTCTACAGCTTCAACTCATGGCCATGTCATGGGATATTCCAGTTCAGTATGGTGCGAGATTTTCATGGATTTATTCAATTAATTCTGTGTGCTCAAGAAGGATTGTTTTAACTGTGTGTCTGAATTCGTGAAAAGGTCCATTTTTGTGCTTGGGGTTAAAATGAAATATACTTTATCTGTTTCTTTGGGATCTTGTAAACAAGATCCCCAGGTGAATGCCACACCTGATTAAAGTGTTTTATTTCCAAATTCTGCGCCTTTTTGCACCATTTTTGGTGAAAATAGGAAAAGCAGAGTTCTCAAAATTAAATAAGTATTACAGTGGCCCCCCGCCTAACAGACCTCCCGTGTAAGGGATTTTCGCCAAACAGACCAGCTCTGCAAGCAGTTTTTCCTCCTGCCCAACAGACAAAATCTGCCAAACAGACTTCTTTTGGTTTGAAATTAGTGTTGAAAATTGAAATTTTTAATTTTTTATGTAATTGAACTCGTGTAAAGGACTTTTTGTCTAACAGACTCGTCCCTTGCACGAATCAAGTCCGTTAGAAGGGGGTTGACTGTACTTTTACATCCGGTGTCTGCATAAGTCTCGGGGATTTGCAACTATAAACATAATGTCATTAATTCCAAAATTATCTCACCTGGATTCTGAAGCCATTCTCTCAAAGTTTTCTGCAGTCTTCTCACATGCAGGGGTTTGGCTGCCATGCCCACAAGATCCATAATCTCAAGGAATTCCTCTTGTCCAGAGTCGCATAATTGTTGAACATCATCTCCACCTCAAGATGACAACATGCAAACATTCATGTCAAGCATGAATATAGCAAGCCAAGTAATTTTGCCAGCAGAAAATATTAATTCGATTCGTATTTCTTGATTCTGTGTTGGGGAAAATAAACTTGAGGAATCAAAACAAATTTTTCTCTCGTTTTTTGGCTGAATTTCTCCAGATCCATTGAAAATGTGGCAGTATCATCATTTTGTGAGCTTCCCTCGCTGTTCTTTTTCATTTTTCAAAGTATCAATCAACATTTTTTGAACATTGCTTTAATTTTTAGTTCACATGAGTTGAAACAATGCAAGAAAACAGAGATCCAAAATGTCTCCAGCAATAATCGTAGTATGAGTAATTAATAACTTTACTCGCAACACTTGGTCAAAGTTTAGGAACAACAATTTGTACAATTATAGATTTATGCTCCAAATAACATAGGATTCCATTAGATGCAATATAGCTTTTTTAATCTGAATGCAACAGCTTCATTAGATATAAATAAAAAGCAAATGCAGATATAAATCCAACTTTATATTGAGTATGAATTAAAAACTTGAGCTATCAAAATTCCTGAGATTGAAAAATTAACTGAAAATTGGAGACACTCTCAAGCAAAAATATGTTTTTGGCCAAATTTTCATTTAAAATATAAAGACGGAAATTTTACGCAAGAACACATGGCACTTGAGTAAATGTGGTACAGTGAGACCCCATGATGTGGACATAATTGGTGCATCAAGAGTGTCTTATAATGTCAGAATGTCCTCAAGTCAAGTCTCATTTTCCCTTATACTTAAATTCTAATGTATTTAATTGGTTCTCCTTTTTGTCAAAAATAGAAATAATTCCTTAAAATATGTATGACACTTTTTCCCCTCAACTTCAATAAGTTTTAGAAAGCAGCAGTGCACAACAAAAGCACTTAGTATCTGATCTTTTGGCATCAAAAAGACATTAAAAAGCAAAGAAAAAGAATAAGTATTGTTAGAATATGCGCACATGATAGAAAATTTCTGAAAAAAGAAGCACAAAATCAGCGCTTATTTTGATTATGAATGACAGTGAATTTATCATGAAATCTTCTTTCAATTTTTATGAATATAAATACCTTGATTTATTCAAAAGATACCAAAATTAAAAAATAAAATGCCTCATTTTTTTGGAGAAAATTTTCAGAAAAGTGTCCCTAACTCAAGCCGATGTCCAGATGTCAGGCCTGATTTTTTAAAAGTTTCCCTGAGTTGAATTGTTCATACGTTGGGGTGTCCGCATATTGGGGTCTCACTGTAATTATTTTAAGCACCACTTGATACAGCATTTCAAACACAGTAATACAGTTTATTATTGTACCTCATTCTAAAACCTTTGGAGTGACAACAGAACCAGCTATGACAAGCCTTTTCTAACAAGGAAAACAATTTCTGACGCAGAAGTCAGTTAGCAATCCTTTGCAAAACTATATTGCATTAAAAATAAAGCAAATCAATAGAAAATGCACATGTACTAACTTCTAGTCTTTTTTGGGCATTTAAGATTTCAACACAAATAATAGCGTCATTAGGAATGTGAATTACTGTGTTTACATTGGTATTAGTTTTAGGGAGAATCCATCTGTGAATATCCCCTCATTCCATAAACATAATCACAAATTTCAAAGAGTATTTTCGTATTCTACTGTACTTTAGCAGTAAGAATAATTCAGTGTACCTCGCTCCAAAAGTGTGTTTGTATTGGCAGTGGGTTTACTCACAATCAGTTAAATAATATTCATTCAACAGAAGAAAAAGTAAATAAAATGACACGATCGTCAGGGGAATTTATTCACCGCAATCGAACCCAAGATTATCAATGATCTAAACTTTAGAATCAACTGACGGCGTGTTTAATTACGCAATAAAAAAAATGATGGATAGAAACTCACCTTTGCTAATGAAGGTGTCGTAGTAGGACAACAAATTAGCTCTTTGTAGTACTCTGAACAACTGGAGCTCAGATTCGTTTGATGGATGCGTCGTGAGGGCCACTAAATAACAAAGAAACACAAAAAAAAAAAAAACGTGGGACGAAACCAGACGATGAAAGAGTACTTTGACGACAGCAGTACTTGATTCAGGTTACTTGGATCGCTTGGGAAAAAATTTGTTCGGGTTCAGACAACCGATGAACGAGTGTCTGTGAAAATCGCCAGAAGCTTCATCCCAACTAGTTTATCGTGAGAATATTCAAAGGTAATTGATTCAGGTTACTTGGATCGCTTGGGAAAAAATTTGTTCGGGTTCAGACAACCGATGAACGAGTGTCTGTGAAAATCGCCAGAAGCTTCATCCCAACTAGTTTATCGTGAGAATATTCAAAGGTACTTGCAGAAAGTTCGGGAATTCTAAAAAGATTTCCGCCAAAGCTGCAAAACTTTTCCTAAATTTATTTTATTTTCATGAATACAGGAGGAATTTCTCTACAACGAAGTGCAAAGGACCAGGAAAAAATCATTTTTAGGGAAAATATTGTATGAAAGCCCTATAAAATCGGAGAAGGACCAAAAATAAATGCATTAAATAACGAACATCGTTGTAAACAAGATTGTTGCATACAGAGAGTTCACCTGTATATAAAAAAATAATAACACGAATGTTCAAACACATTTTTTGGAATTTTAGAAAAAGTCTAGAGTTTCAAGAGTGAGAAGCATGAAAGGAACTTCAAGTTCTCCATTTCATGTCTCAATTTATTTTGCATCCGAACGATAAGTACAAAATATACTGAAATATTCACCAAATACAGTACGATCAGTTTAAAATTCGCCATCAGACACTTTTACAGCCTTTTTTTGAAACCGTTTAATATATATATTTTATTGTAGCCTGACGATGAAAGCGAGGTTCGTGGAAGTGAAGTTTTTTCTGGATACTTTTTGGGGATTTTTCTTGAATTCCCGCATTTTCGGAAAGTTGGAGGTTTCCTAATTTTTTTTATTCATGAATATATTTCGAAGAATACGTCACGAATTCTCAAAACAATTTCGAGATTATTTTTTCAAAACTCGACAGTTTTAAGAGTGAGACACGTGAAATGAACTTGACCTTCATTCGAATTCCAAAAATACACGACAAAATCTACAGTAATTTATGCCTCTAAAAAAAAGAAAGAAAATACTTTTCGGGAGATTTGAAAAGACGGAAAATTTTTCTTTATCTTTATAATAAATAGCTATATATGCTCACCAGTTCCGTTCATGTTCCGAGACAGAATCCGTCCGACACTGGCACTCGTCAGCGTGTGCGGATGATGAAGCTGTGGCAACATGGGAGTTGTCGACACTGACGTAGGAGCCATGCCATTCGAAAATTCGACGACAGCAGGAAAACCCGGGTTTCCTGGTCGAAAGCACTGCTCCTTTTTTTTCGCGATGCTTTTTTTGTTTGTTTCTTTCCCTGTTTTAAAACTCACTTATTCACAGACGACGATTTTCTCACTGTTGAAGATTCTTCAAAATTCTGAGGCAGAAGCGGAAGACATTTTTTTTTCTGAATTTCGTGACCCTTTTTTAAAAGGAGTTTCGTAACCAATGTCATTTTTTTTTATTGACGCCGAAGAATTTTTTCCAGATGTTTTCAACGATACTTATTTTTAATGACTTGCACATCAATCATTATTGAATTAGAATTTAGCAAAATACAAATAAAAAATAAAGGCGAAATTTTGAGGCGCGCCAATATAATTTTTTTTTTCGGAAAATCACAGTTGTCGGATAAATCTTCACAGTACATGATGAAAAACTTTTGCTTTTTCAAGACTGATTTTGGATGCACGGCTTGCGAATAGATTAAATCACATCAATTAAATAATTATGCTTTTTAAACCAAAAAGCAAACAATTATATGTCACGTAATTTTGGTGATTTTTGACACATTTTCAATTTAAAAAATACTTCACGGCTGAAACGTAAAAGTAGTATTCAAGGGCGATTTGTATCATAATACATAATACATAATTTGTATCATAATCAGATATCGGAGAGCAAAAACCTTTGGATATCACATTCAAAAGTTTGTTTTCTCCGCGTTGAATCAATTTTAATCAGACTCGATGAGTGATATAATGATAATTTGATATGGCTTGAATTTTCGCTGCCTATAAATCCAATTCATTTGCATTTTTAAAAATTCAAAACTGTTCATCAAAAGTTCTGTAAACGATTTGTTTTCTTCTTCTGGTATGTGCCATACTAGATTATTATTATTTTTTTAAAGATCACACACACGTGTGCAGCCAACGAACACCAATAACCCGGACGTCGGCTTCGTTGACTCGCCATAAAAACGTATGCGGGACTGGGAAAATTGTTTTTCTTCTTCTTCTTTTTCTTCTTCACCAGCAAAAGTACCAAGTACCCCCCACAAACTAGTACTGCAACATGCGACTTCAAGCCCGCGAGGAATCCAAGTCCAAAGTTCCCCTATTCCCCGAACCGAAGAATATCCCAGACCGCCCTTGGTTGAACTACACACGCACCCAGTACTTTTTATAGTACTGCAAATTACTTCGGAATCTCCACTCCCCTCTTTTTTCCATGCCCCTGGGGCGAATGCGAATTCCCACCACACCGTCTATTAAAACAAGTTATTACAGTACCTGGGGAAGATTGCTCAACTATCTTTTTGGTTGATGAAAATGTAGCCTTGCAGTACAATATTAAAAATCTGCCACAGTATAATCTTGTTACAGCAAACTCTCAGGAACTTGGTAAAAAAAATTCGCTATAAAAAATTTTTGCATTGAGATTCAGAATTTCTAACACAGTTTAGAATGCAATTTTTGTAGGAAATAAATGCTATCAAGTGCTTCCAAGACAAATAATTCAATAACTATATCATAAATAATAAGTATTCCTGATGAAATGAAAAGAAAATATGAAATAAATAGTACATTCCTTCTACTGAACCTGTCATTCTACTAAAAAGTGAAATTTGTCTCAAAATATACAATGAACATAAGTAAATGTAAGAGGAATATGCTTCCTTCTCAATAAACTTTTTCATTCATGCATGTTCTTGCATATAGAAGAAAATTATTTTAAACATTCTGTATATATTGGGAAGAAAGCATATAGTCTAGAATGGAGCAACTGAATTTCCAAGAAATACATCACGTTTTGTATTTTTTGAAAAGCAAGTTTCCTTGGCAGAAATGTTTCCTCTTTGATGAAGCTGGAATGCTGCACCTTTTTATTTCTTTGGTTTCCAGACATACGTATCAAACAAACCCCATTGCCTTTACACAGAATGATGGACAAAAATTCATTACAATGGGAGTACATATATGGGAGTAGTTCATTATATGGGAGTAGTTTTACATATATTTTGTTACCGATGTCAGGGAATGAATGGGTGTATGCATACATGTCAGATGTCCAGTTGTATTTCATGTTGTATTGTATTTTCTTTTATTTTTAAACCTTGTGAATGCTGAAAAGCGGCAAATAAAGTGTTCTGTTCATTCATTTTTTTCATTCATTCATTCATAATGGGAGTACAGCCTAAAATTAGTTTGTTGTAATGAGAATTTATAACATTACACCTATGGGAAACTGCTGGGACCAATTCAAACTTTGATAAAATGAAAATTTCATAACGAGATTCTTTGTAATGAAATTCTACTGTATATAGTATATAGTACTGTATGCAACTTTTAGATCGTCACAGAATTTTGCGATCAATAAAAAAACTGTAATCTACTGTACTTCCAAATCGAATATTATACGCATTGAAATTGCTGGCAGATTTGTTTTTTCAATTGTGCAATTTTTAAATGGACAAAAGCAGTTACAGGTTACAGAATATTAGCGTAAATTTTATACCACACTGAAAAAAACTATGCCATTCAAAAAAATAAATTGTTATTTTCGATCGAGAATTCCATTTAAATTTGATTCAAACTTGCGAACGGAGAATAACCAGCAGCAGTCACATTAATGTACATTTTTACTTGAAAACAATGAACTTCATTCAAGAAATGAATCACTTTAAATTGAGCATTCAATTTACATGTGATTCAAACTATCACTCTTTATACCAACTGAGAATAATCAGTAGATTACATAGTGATCAATTTCCGAATTGACTACAGTATTACGCATTGAAATTGACAGAATTTCAACTGAGAATAATCACAGTCCACATCAAAGTATAAAAAACAGTGGAATACATAATGCTTGTGTATGAATTTTCATACATGTAAACATAGCCTTCTTCCGTGAAATAAGGCAATTAATACAAATCTTCTTTTCTTTTGAACAATTGGCCAAAAATTGGAAAGAATTTAATATCAATTTAATTTGAATTTAATATTGAAATTCGTCACATACACTTTTAATTGCATATTCCATTGCTCTTCGATGCCTAGGGAAAATGTGGACATAATTTGACTGATTATTTGATCAAAATCATTATAAAAGTATTCACCAGAAAATCTAAATCACTAAACACAAATTACTGTACTGTATATGTTTCACAATGCATTTCAGGCTTAAACTGCATAATTTCATCAAGTACAGTGTATAATTTTGTAGTTGAGGAATTGCATCAATTACAGTATACAGTATAAGTATGTAGTTGAGGAAATCAGGCGTTAAATTGAATATAACCTAACACATGTATGGGATGAGAATATTCCTTTCTGATTAGTGGTACAATAATTTAATACATTACTGTAGTATAATGTTAACAGGCAATTTATTACACAGCTGGTTCATATGTTGTGAAGCATATAGCATTGATCACGGCATTCTAAGCTCATTAAAAAATTATAATTTGCTCCAGGATTCGAAAATGGCCATTGATTGAGTAAATTTAAGTTACAAAACGTATTGCGAACCATTTGCAAATTGCAGAGAAACCTTTTTAGCTTAATTATTTGCGATGAAAGTTGTTTTTATTATATCTGAGGATATTTGCTGATTTTTCATGCTTCAAAGATATAAGCAATTTTAAGGACACCAAACAAGACATTAAATCAAATGGGTCATTTTCATAAAAAAATTAATTCTCATGAAAATAAATTTGTACTGCTGTAGACAATTTCTGTTGAGGTCTCATTGAAGAAATTGGAATTCATTCTCCAATATTGGAATCAAATTGACAAAAACATTTGCATCAGTGAAACAATAAGTTGACAAAAAATAAAATTCTGACATTTGTACCATGAATGAAGTTCAACAATAAAAATACAGGGGAGTCAGCCTATATGCAGGATAATTTAATCACAAAACGTTTTGGAAAAGAAAGAGCAAAATGTACAACCTTTCTTAGCACAAAATTGACCAAATTTGAACAGAAAAATCCTGGCATTAAAACTAGAAGATCATATTCAGCCTGTTCTAAAGATAAGCATTGTGGAGATGTATTGATGTTTGCAAAGCAGTTAAAACAGCTGCATTGTTGTTAATCCTGCGATGGGATAAAAATAAAGAAATTGATTTAGAAATCTTCACACATTTTCACATCCATTCCCCAGCATAAGCATTCTCATTGCAGTATATTTTTACATAAAAACCTATGATACGCCTGGAAAATCAATTGTATTTTGCAGCCACCTCTTTATTCTGGATCCAAAAGAGTGATGGAAACTCTGCAAAATCAATTTTATCTCATATAAATAGCCACAAATAATAATTAAGGCAAAGGCGGTACGTGGAAAATTATGAGAACAAAAAACACCAGGCCACTTTAATTGTCCCCAACTGACACAATTCACAAATTAAATAATCCCTTTCATTGCAGAACAATATTACGGGTGTGCTCGAATAAAAACGCGCGGCGAACAAACAAAAATCACTGCTGATGCATGAGAACCGCACGACGATCAAGTAATATAGATGCACGCGTACCTGTATTACATAATTATGTAAATGATTCGAGAGATGAAAGTGGAACTACGGGTCTGAAGGGCTTCAAGTCCAGCACAAAGTACTTCTCTGCCGAAGAAGTACTCACTCATCATTGGGGTGTATATATATATATAAGCAGTACTCGTATGTATACGTGGGTGAGACAACGCGGGGTCCGTTGGCGGTGCGCGCTGAGAGTACACTGACTGGTGCTTGCTGGAGGGGAGAATAACACGAGACCAGCAAAGTAATTTTTACGGTACTGGGCCCGCCGGGAACAAAAGCTGTCCCATGTGTTCATGGGCTCGGGTTGAGCAGCAGGGATATATGTACTCTCACTTATTCATCTGCTGCTGGTCATTGAAGGGAATATATGAAACCAATATAAGGGATATGATGCAGGTGGACTCTCTGCAAGGATTTTCTCTGTAGAACATATTTTCTTGGTCCCATAAATGCTATCTCCCCATGTTATAGGAGTTATCTATAACAAAACTCATTTTACAACGATTTTTTTTTCTGGTTCCTTGAATTTTCTTGTAGAGAGAGAGCTGCTGCATGTCCACCTCTATTCTTTCTCAGCTGGCATGCAGGTAATCTAGGCCATGATGATAATATAGTAAAATCTTGTTACAACAAACTTCTGGGGACTTCAGAAAAAGTTTTTTTAGACAGGATTATCTGTTATACTGTAACAAGATTTTCAAAATTACTGAATGGAAATAAATTTTGCATCAGACCTGCTAGTGATAAAATAAATCTTGCTTTTCTGGCCTTTTCAGATTTTAAAATTGTTTTTTTCAAAACTTATAAATCTTCTGAGACAAAAATTAGCTTCAATCATGAATTCTGTAAGGTGCATAAATCTCGTCATTTGGGGAGGATGATTTAAAAATCACTTCATTCTGGGAGGTTGTTGTGTAGAACCAGCACTGGCAAGCATGCTTTCCTTTCATTATAGCTTCCATATACATGCTACAATAAGAAAGTCACATTTGAAAGTTCAGACTGTACCTGGCTTATACTCAGGTAATTTATTCCAAGAGAATCCTCAAAAAAGCTTTTTACATGAACTGGAAAGTTTGTTACAATGAGATATTGCTTTGACATATACTCTATGGGCTTTCTGCAAGGACTTGAGAAAAAGTTATACTGAACATTTTTTGTAATGGTATTTGTTGTAATGAGAGTTTACTGAACAGTAAAAATCCAATACTTGTACATTGCATTTTTTATAATGAATTTTTCATCATGAAGAATGCCATGTTCCCCAGTCGTTTCTGCATAGGAACAATACTATAATTATCTCATATTTTAACAAACTAATTTTCAGCTTATATTGCAATGTAACACATTTCTTGCCCTTTTTCTTAATTGACTGGCTGTAAGAATTATTTCATTGTCTGAAAAATGGGAAATTTCAACTTGTGCATGATCAAAAATTTATAATAAAAAATCAAAGCTTATTAAAAATAAACTTTTGTTCAGTATTGAAACAAAAACACAATGCACTTTTTTCTTACAATTCATAAATGCTAATTCGGGAAACTTGCGATGCTCTTTTTCAAATGAACAGCACCTCTATGCTGTGAAGATATAACCACTTATACTAAAGACAAATGAAAATGCATTTTGTTATGTGAAACAATCATGAAAGAAGAGTAGATTGAAAAAAATTTGAAGTGGGGGAAAAAGTGTATCAAAATAGGATATGTTGCCTTTGAAAAAATTCATGATTGACATTTACAGATTCTGTCATTATTCCACACAAGACCAACAGCTCAGATTTCCCAGAGCACAGCAACGGGACATGTCACACTCCTGCAGAAAGTTTTGGCAGTTAGAAAGTTCTCTCACAGGAATACTAATCCATTGAAAGAGCCTTTTTGTTTCAGGATCTTGTTTGAGTATGAGTTAGAAAAAAACCCTGAACACCTACCTCATCTTCCTTCTCTATAGTTCAAGTTCAACGAAAAAGGCATTTTTAATCCCGCTGCTTCCTACATTGCACCTAGAACGACTCCATCAACTAAAGGAATAGTAGAAACTGATTCCATTTCCAGCATTCAAAGATTTAAAAAAATGAAAAATAACTCAATAAAATGTTCGACATTCAAACAAGTATATTCATTGTTCGCTAGGCAGGAGACACGGCCAAGTATCAAACAAATTTCGGGCGCGAGATCGAAGAACCAAGACATTCAACCAAAAAAACTGAATTTTCTTGCCGTTCAAAATCATTCTGAAAAAAAAACAACGCGAACATTCAACAACAATTTCGAACGGCATTCGGAAATTCTGAAACTATTAAAACAACCGAGGCTAAACGGAAGCCCGAAAAAAGGACTATACACACTCAATTTCTTTTTTTTTCGCGAGCTACTCGTGGACATTGAATATCTGAAAAAAAAAAACCTCGTCGTTCGCGTACAGAAAACTGCCACATACAAAAAGGATACCATACAAAATTGAAGCTTTCGTCCGACAGCCATCCAAAAAATTGTTTTAAAGATTTCACACTCCTAAGAAAATAAATAATTCAAACGTTTCTACTAAAACTCTTCTAAATACACCACTTTAAATGTCAGCGAAATGCGGACAGAGAAACGGATTTCATCATTATTCCAGCTATTTTCGCAGAGAATCCTCGTTCTTGCACATAAGAAACCAAAAAGAGATTCTAGCATAATTTAAAAGTGACTCACCATTTCAAGAATCCGCTCCCACTACTGCAAGAAAAAAAAGGATTCAAGCGTCAGTGACTTGGATTTTAATGTAAAAAACTTTTCGTCAGTAAGCATTTCAACATCGCCTCGAGACGGATTTTTGAGTAACATTGATCCTCCCATTTTCACGGGCCAAGTTCGGTATTTTACCGCAGATTTGGTGTGATTATTTCATGACGTCAGGTACAATCGGTGAAAATTATATTCGAAAAAAAGCAGAAAAGAATTTTTAACCGAAACGTTTATCATCGCATCCAAAAAAAGATTATAATTTTGAGTGTAGCACGAACCAGAATCGTTTTAGCTGACAAGGCGGCGAGTTTTTCAGCGAATGAAAATCAACTTATAAAAATGAATGTTCCGAGTGCCTAGTGTTCGTTTTTCGTCGCCGGATTCCTCGCCAAAACTTTTTCAGTCAGAATCCGAATCGTCGTAACTGTATTTAACTGGGACCTTTGCACGTCCGGGACGATCTCTGCTGACAGCCATGGCAACACGGAAATCGTCATCAACATCTTCAACTCCACTAAAGCCACCCTCAGATTCCGAGTCCGAACCCTTCTTCTTCTTCCCTTTGCCCTTGGGCTTCTTGGCTACCGGAGATTTCTTGACCGAGGGTTTCTTTGCAGCGGGTTTCTTCTTCTTTTTCTTATCCTCGTCGGATGAAATGACGACGTCCGAGTCAGAGTCTTGTGCGCGTTTAGCCTTCGTTTTCTTCTCTTCGTCAGAAGAAATTATGGCATCAGAGTCAGAGTCGAGCATACGCTTCGGTTTCTTCGCTGGTGCAGGTTTCTTTGGCTTAGACGGACCTTCATCTTCACTGTCGCTGCCTCCGAATGCACTCGTGGGTTTCGACGCAAGCACTCGCTTCTTGGGCGGAGCTTTCGGTGCTGATGGTTCAGCTAAAAATAAAAATAATGAATATATCAAAAAGTTAGCGTTTCTTCCTTCGAGAACAACCTCCGATGCAAAAAAATCAACCGGAAAAATTTTCAAGCGACTTCACCTTAAAGTCACAGACGAATTTTTTGCGAATTCCGTTTTGAAGTTGAAAAAAAAATTCTCACTTCTCCAAATTGAAAATTCATTCAACTCGAAGATGGAGAGAATTTTCATTTTTCCGCGAAAACGTCACAGGTTTTATCTTTAATTGCTCAAATTCAAGCGAGGGGACTCGAGCAAAATTCGCAAGGAATCAAACTGATACGAGTAAAAAATGCGGGGTTATTTAAACACTACTACGCACTCAAGAATGTTGATACTGTATTTCGGGGAGTTACGAGCATGGAATCATGACATTTCAAGCGAAAAGAAAACAAGGGTGACAGAGTAAAAAAAAAACCCACATTTTAAAGCCAAACGTAAATGTTCGGCATTTCGAATTAGGGGTGAATTCTTGAGTTTTAAAATCCTGTAAATAATTGATAAGTGCAGACATTGAGAATAGGATTGCTCAGTATATCAATTTGTATGAAAGCTCGGAATTTTCAGCTTAAAAACCGGGACCTCTGGTATAAAGACTATACGGTCAGACGTAAATAAAAATTATTCAATTCGTTCTCTTTTCCTTCCATACAAATTGCATACAGTCGAACCTCTTCAAGTCGAACTTCAAGGGACCAGTGAAACAATTCGAGTTAGGGAGGTTTTTAATGCATCACAGATGCAGACAGGGACTTGAAAACAATTGGACTTAAGAAGGTTCGAGTTATCGAGGTTCAACTGTAATTTTTTCGTAAGTACTGTATAAGTACTGTACAAGAAAAATTCTTAGTTTCGCAAGTTCGGCACGGAGGCAATCGATCACCTAATTCAACGCGGAACATATCATTCAGGTCTAGGAATGCTGAAGCGAACAGTAAACAGAAATGACGAAATGTCTCACCAGAGATTTCAGCGGCAGGCGGATTATTACTCCTAGCGGCAGCCAATCGTTCAGCAAGAGGCTTCACGTTCAGCAACGAATCAAACAACTCATCGTCCGAAGTGTTCTTCGGAGGCGAACGCGGAGGCGGAGCTCGCCGCTCTTCTTCCTCTTCATCCGAATCCACCAACAAAGACTGCGACACCTTCGGCTCATTATCTTCTTTAGCCCCAAGATTGTCAATGAACTCGTCCGACGCGTCCCCGTCCGAGTTTTCGGCTTCCGACAGCGAATAAGACACCTTTTTCTGCGCAGCGGCACGACGTGGCCCGCGTTCGGCCGCCGGTTTCGGTGGCGGCGATTCAAACGACGCGTCTGATGCGTCCGAGCCCATTTCTTCGTCCGAGTCCGACACCCAAGACAATCGTTTCTTTTTCTTCTTATCGTTCTTGGCACCACCGCTACCGGCAGCACGTCCTCGAGGCTTTTTCGCGGGTGATTTCTCATCAGAACCCTCTAGTTTCTCTTTTTTCGCACGGGGTTTCGGCTTTGGCTTCTCGGGGGAAGTTCCTCCTTCCTCACCCGCATTCTCCGTTTTTACGGTATTCTGCAAGAAAATAAAAAGTGACATTTAAAATTCAATGACTTCTTCGAAAAGGCTTTCCAAAATGGACACGTTTTGATCTTGACTAATGAGAAAATATTGGACAACAGAAGTTTACTGGGCTTCGAAAAATGTATCTCTTCGTTTGCGTTTCAACTTTTTGCACGAAACGCGGACTGAAGTACATCAACCATGCAAAACGATCGGAAATGCTTAGAAGAATTTTTGAAATGGGAACAATTGAGGCAACGGTTTTTGTAATAAAATTTCTAGGTAGAACACGACTTCACTTCGGAGTTTGGACGATGACTAAAAATTCAACTTGCATGCACACTCGAATTCGTGAAAAGAAATCAAGGGTAATCACAAGTTTTCATCGTGCGTGAGAAACCCAATGTTGGGAAGAATCAAACGACAGGACGAAGGCCTCAAAAGAAATACAGCACTTGAAGCAGTTCTTACTAAACAGATCCCACTCAATATTTTCATGTACCGTAAACGGAAAAATAGTCATGGGCTCGCTGGAGAAAGCAGACAGTGATTCAATGCATACGATAGATGTACTTTCAATGTGACACGGTGATCATCATCCACATTAAACCCATTAGTGACAAGGACAGGCTAGTAAAACGCATCACTTCGATCAAACTACAAATGTCTCACAGTATCAGTTATTTCTGAACTTACCGCGCGTTATAAGCAGGATAATGAAATTTTACTCGCCTTTTCTTTCTTCACACGCGTTTTTTTCTCCGCGTCAAATTTGCTGATGAGCTCGGGATCCGGTTTGGGATCGATTCTCATGGCATCATCGGCAGGAAGGAACTCCCTCGCCGACAGCCTCGGCGCCTTTCTTCCCTTAATGTCTTTGTTCCCAGCCTTGGCCGCCTTTTCCATCTCCAACCGCTCTTTTTTCTTCTCATCCTCCTCCATTTTATCGTAGGCAGCCGAAAACTCTCTCAAATCACGGCGCCACATGTCTTTCGGCGTCGTGCTGACCAGACGACGGAGATCCTCCTGCTTTTTATCGCGTTCCTCCAACAATTTCTGCTTCCGCTCCAGCGTCAAACTGGAGATGCGCATTTCAAGTAGGTAATCGTAGTTGCGTCCTCCTTCTTCAACGGAAGATTCTTCCCCTTCTTCGTCGGAGCCGGCGCCGTCGACGATCTCACGCTCGACGGCGTCCTTGTCGTACTTTCGACGCCATGCAAGAACCGGGTCTGAGTCGTAGCCACGATCTGCGAGCTCCTTCACCATTGCTTTCCGACGCTTGTTCTCCACGACAAGGTCGCCATCGCATTTCTCGCAAATGAAACGGGCTTGGTTTGTAAGCTTTCCAGCTTCGGCTTGAAGCATCCCAACAAGGAAAGCTTTCCGTTTGTCGTAGTAACTGTTGATAAAATTGTTTCGTTTTACACTTCAGAATCTTTGAAATCGAAGACACGCTAATTTAATAGCCACAATTTTGTATCAGTGCGATCATGGGAACAGCTAATCATGCCAATACTGAATACGAGAGCCTCTCGCGATCATTTGTCAGTGTAATTCAAAAAATTATCCTAAACTAATAATCTCCACAGAAATAAATCCAACTACAGTTAAGGATACTAAGTCTCCAAAAAGGTTCCCGTGCAGACGAAAATCTAGCCTTTTCGAGGCGTTTCAACCCTTGGGTGGAATGCACACGGAATTGCCGTGGGGTGAAAACGTCGAAAACATCGGAAAAATATTTTATGTAGCAGGATAAATGGCAATAAATTTATCCTGCCCCATAATTTAAAACAAATTTAAGCTGGATCTAAATTAAATCTAGTACCGTAAACTGTTGCACTGCTCATGTGCAAAGAAGAGAAACGCAGGCGAAGAACTTCAGGGTGACTTTCCGTGAAATACGAACTGACGGTTAGAGATGTTCATCTATCCACATTAAAATAATTACGGTATTCTCAGCAATGGACACGTATCAATGGACTCGTAGCAATGGACTTAACGCGCACGGATTTAAATTTACACGATGCCTTTTCGACAGCACGTAGGTCAGTCCACCGCTGATCAATCTCGTACAGAATTGAAATTTGTAAAAATCTAAAAAATCGAAATCAATACCTGAGACGAAGATCGAAGAATTCCCTCAAAATTTCTTCTGCGCTTTCGTACTTCTTAATGACCCCGTTCTGGTCGAACAAAACCATGGATGTGAGCGAAAAAGTCGAAATAAGCTTGAAGTACTTGTGCAGGCCTTTGTTTTCGGCTTCGCGATATTTCGCATCCGGCATTTCCACCACAAATCGCACCGTCGTGTCGGTATGGTAAGTAAAAACCTGGAAAGAAGCAAACGTTACCACATTTCTGTCCCGATCTTTCAAATTCAACAACCGATCCAATGGACGAAATGGACTCACATCGGAAAGTACAGCTGCGGTTTTCTCACTACCATTGAGCATGGGGTCAAGGACACCTTCGCGATAATCCTGGGTCCATTTGCGAATCGGCAATTCCGTAATTTCGACCTTCCCTGGACGCAGCTCGGCAATTTCGCCGGCGTGCCAATAGTGCTGTGCATCGATTTGTGAGATCACGCCGCGGAAATTGCGGAACCAAGGGTGCATTTGCTTCGGCTCGCCTCCGTCAATCATACTAAGTAGATTGTCAACGATCTCCCGAGGATTGTAGTTGGGCACATTCGTCATCCATCCCGTACCTGGAGATTCCATCACACAGTCCGAATAAAAACTTGGGACACGAAACAATTACAGAAATACGAAAGCTTCTCTCACACCAAACGAATATTCCATCACGCAATTTCGAGAGTAATACAGTACTGTAAAATATCAAAAGCATTTATGATACTCACCGATCCCAGATGCACCATTGACCAGAACCATGGGTAAAATGGGAATATACCATTCTGGTTCAATCGACTGGTTGTCGTCCTTCAAATAGTTCAGGATCTTCTCATCATCAGGGTTGAACAAATGCTTCGCTAACGGGCTTAGCTTTGTGAAAATGTATCTAGGACTCGCGGCATCTTTTCCGCCGGTAGCGCGAGTTCCGAATTGCCCTGCAGACAACGAAAAAAATAAAGAAGAAATCCAGTAACTGTTTCCCTGCAGCCTACACTTTTAAATACTGTAGCTGAATAATAGACTGACGAATCTGAAACGTATTCACTCGAGTATCACGCACACATTTTTTCTAAAAAATTTAAGGAAAAAATGGGTTAAGCGTCATAGGCGGGGATATCATTTAAAAAAAATTCAAGAGTTTAGGCGAACGTCACACTAGAATATAGTGGGCAATTTTTGACAGGATTATTTTTAGATCAGAACAATTGAAGATTAGTCAAATTTAGGTTCAAATTTGAACTCTGGTGTCTCTCTTTTTTTAAATACAGTATTGTCGTTTTTCATTCACTAGAAATGGGGTGCGTGTCTGGATTTCATCTATATTTCAGGATGAAAAATTGGAGCGTGTCTTACACGAGGTGGCGTGGTAATCGAATAAATACGGCAGCCGGAATAAAACAAGACTCACCAATAGGCTGAAGTAAGTTAATATTATTGCTTCCTACAAAGTCTTGGGCCAAATTGATCATCGTTCCCATGAGCGACTGTTCGCCGTGATGATAAGCCGACAATTCTGCAACGGATCCTGCCAACTGGGCCACCTTCACTTCCCGCTTGTCCTTCCTTTTGAAACAGGTGAACAAGACCTTTCTCTGACCAGGTTTCAATCCGTCAACCATCGACGGGATGGATCGTTCGTTATCCGCATTGCTGAACAACACCAACTCCTTGTTGACGAAGTCCGTGAAAGACACGGCCTTTGTGTCCTTTTCGTATAAGTAGACTTCCGGAAGCTCAAGCTCGCGGCGGCGTTTGCGCTCCGCCATTTGAGTGGTAAGCCATTCTTTACGTTGGTCGACCGCCTTTTTAGAGAAAGCCATCACGATCGAATTGTCGTCGGACGAGCCCTTGTACTCAAATTGGATGCGATGCCGCAGCATGTTTGTGAAGTACTCCTTGGCTTCCGCCGATGTGGAAGTTCCCAAACCTGTAAAAAAAGCGCAATACGGAACAATAGGATATAGCAATGACTGATTGTCGGTCTTCTCAGAACGTCTGATTCATACTGAATCAATTACCCGAGTTTCCACTAGAGCATTCAACTATGAAGGTACCCAGTTCAAGTCGTCAGATTACGATATCAAATTTTCGGGTGCGTAATAATTTTGTTTCAGCACGCAGAAGATAGAAGACTTCCGCATCCGCAAAGTTGTTACATTTATGCAGTTCGCAAATAGTTACCTATACAAATTTAGATAAATACTGCACATCTTTTTACCTTTTCATAGATTTGGTCACACCTAGAGAAAATAAAAACAGTGTACAGTATTGCATATGATTCACATAACGCTAGATAAGTTCTGAATTGACGTTTAAAAAGTGTAACAACTACGGACAAGTACAGTGAAACCGCGTTAAGACACTCCCCAGTAAGCCACCCCCCCCCCTTCGCAACATTGTTTTTCTTTGGAAAATCAAATCTTCCTTAATGATAAAATCATTGAAAATTCCGTCAAAATGCCATCCACCAAAAACAAATTGACCATTTTCCTCTCAATTAATTTTGTCTCCGATCGCACGCCAACAACAGTCAAAATTCTGCGAGAAGTCTCCGATAAAAAATATAAAGAGGGCGTAATTTGCTTCTTGAGAACATGAGCTAGAATAAATTTACGCATCCCAAGGTTATTTCGATTGATTCCTAGAAGACAATAATTTTATTTCCTGTAATACTTAATTTTCATATTATTTTAGCTTTTTTGATAAATCACCAAACCTCTTTCAACCGCCACAAACCTCACGAAAATATGGTCGCGGCTCACAGAGTTTTGACTGTACATACAATAAACATTTTAATTGGTTCTGAAAAAATTTCTCACCAATAATCGCAATATTTTTGGGAAAATACCTTTGTAGTACTTTATGGTGTACTTGACCCAGTTCGGAGTTGCACGCTTCCACTCTTCAAACTCTGGGATGGAGTAGAACGAAAACTGCTGCGAGTGGTACTTCGCCTTCACGATCGGGGTGATAAACTCTTCAATGAATCCCATTTTCAACAACGATGGCCAGTTATGGTGAATGAAATTGATCAGGAGCCCCTTGATATGCGAACCGTCCTGATCCTGATCAGTCATGATCATAACTTTTCCGTATCGCAAGGTGGTCATGTCTTCCCTACTGGCATATTGCCGCTTGTACTGCAATCCCAGGATTTTCACGAGGTTATTTATTTCAGCATTCTCCATAATTTGCTTGTGCGAGGCTTCCCTGACGTTCAGGAGTTTACCACGCAAGGGAAAAACGCCGAACTGGTTGCGACCAACGACTGACAGCCCAGAGACGGCCAATGCTTTTGCTGAGTCTCCTTCAGTGAGGATCAGCGAACATTTGGCAGAATCTTTCGTGCCGGCCCAATTCGCGTCTTCCAGCTTGGGAACACCCTTGATGGTCGATTGCTTCCGACTACCAGTTTTCGCATTCAGCTGCGTCTGAGCTTTGAACAGCGCCCAAGTCATCACGGACGAAACAACGCCCGACTTTTGCACGGCATTGATGAACTTTTCGCTTAGCTTGCACGAGGATCCGAAACTTTTCACCTGCAAAGTCATGTTTTCTTTCGTTTGGGAATCAAACGTGGGATTCACAATCAGGCAGTTCACGAAAAGGAACAAATGATTTTTGACTTGAAACGGCTTCACCGTGACGCCGTTTTTGTTCTTCTTGTTGACGACTTCTACTACAGACTTCGTGAGCTGGTCGCAGATGTAGTCGACGTGACGTCCACCTTTCGTCGTGGCAATGCTGTTGACAAATGAGACTTGCTGAAAGCCTTGATCCGAAACGCAGCACGCAACTTCCCATCGTGGGCTGAACTTTTCGTAGATGATTTTCACAGGATTTCCGCTGTCTTCTGCTTTTTCTTTGATATACTGCTCGCAATAATCTTTGAAGCCTTTGACAGGAATGCGCTTCCCATTTAGAATGACCTGAAAAAAGGCGAATTTTCATTTACTGTAATCGGTCGATCACGCAGATGATCGCATTACAAAGAAATTGAACATATGCCCCATGAAAGAAAAAGCCAGTTTTTCCAACAGTAATCACGACATCTCAATACAGGTGGACCCTCTCTACAACAGAACTCAAGGGACCAGAAAAAAATTTTTCATTTCACTGGGAATTTCGTCGTAGAGAACCCTATGTGACCAAAAAAATCGTTCTACAGAGAATTCCGTTTTAGACAAGATTGCAGTAGAGAGAGTCCACCTGTTTATCGTATTGCAAAACGTGTCGCCAGAAATAAAAAAAAAAAAACGGACCAAAGAATTTCAACAATTGCGGTTCTTACTCTAACCGTTCGTTTTCATCTTTCAGTTCTGATGGTGCTGTCGAATTACACCAAACGGCAGAAAGATCGCCGATAAGTTGATAAATACATTACTTAGACGGATGGGCGAATATTTCTGGACCATCATATGAACCAGCAAAATGCATGAATCCTAAAAGACACCCCAATTTTTCTTCTAGTCGAAATTGGACGCAACTGCATAGTAAGTTCTCAAATGCCAGGACTACTAATGAAGACGCAATTTCCCACTCACTTTCACACCCCAAGAAGCACCAGCAACATCGTAGGCTCGCCTGGACAACAAATCCACAGTGTCTTTATCCAGTCGGTCCATCTTGAATTTGACCAAATCCGGAGAGAACGTCACTTTCGTGTAATCTTTCCCTGAAAACGCGGTAACTTTCGGCTCTGTCGTCTTCGACATATTGTTGGCCCAAGTTTGCTTGAAATTTTTCTTAGACTCAGAGCACGCAGTTTCTACAGTGAACTTGGTGCTAAAAATGTTGCACAATTTTGCGCCGTAGCCGTTTCGTCCTCCGGTGACCTTGGCTTCATCGTCATTGTAATTGGAAGATGTTAGTAAATGCCCAAAAATGAGCGTGGGCACAAACATTTTCTCTTCCTTGTGCTGCACAACGGGAATTCCTTTACCATTGTTCTTCACCGAAATCACGTTACTCTCCGCATCAATGTGAATATCTATCGTGTCCATGCTTGGATCACGCTGCTTGTTGTCGGCAGCGTTCACCAGAATTTCGTCGAAGATTTTATACAACCCCGGAACGAACGTGATTTCTCGAAGGGCCATTTGCTGTTTCTCGTTGTCATACACCCACATCTTCTCTGTGAGCTTCTCCACGGAACCGATGTAGGTGTCGGGACGAAGGAGAATGTGCTCAAGTTGGGATTTCTTCTGATAGATCTTCTCTATTGACATTTTGTTTGACTTGCCGCTGCTCTCACCATTCTGAGCCGTGCCATTCGAATTAGAGGCTTCACGGAATAAATCCGTAATTTTAGCTTGGGTGGTCATGGTGGTCCTTAGACACACGAACCGACGCACTGAACGTGCAAAACAACCGAGAAAATTGACGTTCAGAATTCAGCCTATCCTTGAAATATCCCTGATAAATGAAAAACAAACAAAAAATTCAAAATTCGCCGGTTGAAACGCTACTTCCTTGTCAGAGCTTCTCAACAATTTCGCAAATATTTTTGCGATCCTCCATCCAGTTTATCGAACCACACCAAGTTGGTCATGACTGGTTTTACATATTTTTGGAATAGGTTTGTCTACATTATTAAGTTATAGGTTTTTTAAGCTCACTCTAGTTGGCTTAAGTAAAGTTTCATCAGCTTACTGTACTTCTGACTAGGTCATTAAGTTAAGTTAGTTCCTTCTAAAGTATTAAGTCTGCTATCATTACTCAATACCTTCTGAGTAAGGCATTCCGTACCTTTGAAAATATGTGAGCTCATGTTATTTTAATGGGTAAACTTTTTCAAGATTAGGTTAATTTTGTGTTCTCTGGCGTTAGTCAAATTGCATTATTCGAGTTGAAAAACCTAAGGTTTGAAGCAATATGAGGACGCTTCAACGAGGAATACACAAATCCGATTGAATGTTCAAACACATCCAAAACCGTACAATACATTCATCACGAGCCGAGGACAAAAATATACATTTGAACGTCACTGAATGCCTCCAACACATCGACACCGGACCCGAATCAAAAAGAAACCGAACTAATTCGGACCAAATCTTCATAATATCACCACTTTCATGATCACTGAATACCTGGAAAAATCAATAACCGTTTTTCAAAGATACACACTCATCAAAAACTCTAGGAGAAAATTCGAAGGCTTCAATTAGGATCAACAACTTCGTTCCTTCATTTAGGAATCCGAAATGCGGGTGAATAAGAACAATTTCGTACGATAAACATCACAGGCCGAACAATTTCCCACCCGAGACCGAAAAATTTCAAAGCTCTGATTTTCAATTCGAACACGATCTTCTCTAATGCTCTCCATGACATACGGAAACCAAATCTCAATGAGAGTAAAGGTGATTAGAATGAATCACGGATGCGGTGGAAAGCTCCACAATTGCGCAGCTGATCGACAAATTATCACAGGCCCCTACGGTTCATCACTCCGAATTTCAAATCACAAAATTTCCTCCAGTTTTCCACAACTGTCTTTCATCGCTGATTCCAGTATACAAAGACTCCGAAAACGCTCTAAAATCGCGAGAATTTAGGCGAATCCTTAAAACTCAAGAGAGAATTAACAGAGAAAACCAAGCGCTTAATTTACACAAGATTGTCAGTCAAGAATCTAGAACTTCAATTGGGAACAGACAAATGCAACCCCAGAAACGTTAATTCAAAAATGAATAGTTTGCAAAGATGCCTGTCAGCTTTGCGGTCATAATTTCTCTCATACAAAGATTACTACTTTTTTCCGTCCGTAACTTTCTCGCCTTCCTCCATCCACAACCTGGTCAAAAGACTGTAGTCATCGCCCACTTCTGGTTCGCTTTCGCGCTCCATCTTCACCTGGACACCTACTGACATAAAATACAATATAAGTCGAACCTCTTCAAGTCAAATTTCAAGGGACCGGCAAAACATTCGAGTTAAGCGAACAAGCATTTTTGTTGTGAGAAAGAAGAATAACAGTAAATTGTAATAGGTGATATACAGAGGCCTTGAATTGCTTTGTAAATAAATTGACAGGATGCCAAGCAAAGAGAAAAGGGTTCTTTGCCCAATGAGTATCACTTCCTTAAAAAAAAACATAGTCACACTTCTACCGCCTTCCTCTTTCCTGTGTCAACAAAATAATTGCCATAAGGCCACAAATAATTCGAGTGATGGAGGTTTGTGGGGGAAACCCTTCAACTTGGTGAGGTTTTCAATTCATTACTTTGAATTCGGACAGGGGACTAACGTTGAAAAGTTGCTTGTTGAACGGCTTTTCAATTTCAAACAATGTGGTTTACACTAATTCTATTGAATCAAGTAACCTTAAAAGCTTTAGACATCTTCTAAATTCAATTGTAAAAATTACTGTGATTGAATTTTTCGTGTAAAGTACTGTATTTCAATCACGCCATCAGTTGGTTCTTTGGTTGGGGTTATATCCCGATCTTTGATATAATTTTACTCTTAACAGATAACAGTGAAAACATGCTGTTCTGGCACACGGTACTTGAAAGAGCGCTCGAATAGGTGCGACACTGAATACAGTATTTCTGAGAAACTCGCCGGCAAAGTCGAATTCCATGACCTTCGACGCGCTGCCCGAACTGCTCGTGCTCTCCGCGGATTTTCCATCAGATTCCTTCATCAATTTTGCGCTCTTCTGGCTCTGGACCTTTGAGTTGAGCGACAAGAGAAACTTTTTCCAAGCATCATCGGCACTAGAGCCAGTTTCCACGGCTTCGATCAACTCTTCCGCGGCGTTCATGCAGCCCTTCGACTCACCCGCCAGCTCATGAATCTTTTTCGCAATATCCGCTTCATGGTCATCACCATCATCCTCCTAGGCATCTAACTTAGAATTAATTCCATCCAAAAACACCAGAAACATGTAACGCACATTCTCCGTATTGCTCCAGTCATCGGTTTCCGAAGAATCGTCAAGTGAAGGACTCCCCAACCGCCTTCGCAATCTTTCCAAAAACCCAAAAATCCTCATTTGCATAGCACGATACGAACGAATAGATTTCCGGCGCTTGAAACGTCTATCCTCTGGTTCGTCACCGTCAGAAGAATCGTACGACTCCGAATGATAACGTTTGCGACATCGAAGCTTTTTGCTCGCACGAGCCTTAGTCATCGCTTCCCCAAATAAAGACGCCAACGCATTACGATCCGTAAGCAATTGTTCCTGCTGATTGCCTTTCCCAAGAACGTATCCCTGGGCTCGCAGTTTTTCGAAATATTGCGGCTTAATGAAAATAACGTTAGATTCCTGGCGCGGTGCTGACAACGTGTGAGCTGGAATCAAAGTCGGCATTGTTATCACCGCAGGTGGGTAGGAAGGCTTGACCTGAGCGATCATCGGTGGAGGGACATCGAACGGAGGCATTTGATTCGTATCCACTTCGATTTCCACGGTGTTCGACTGGAAAGTAGTGAAAAATACGAGGGAGGGGTGACAGTCAAATACAGGAATCAACAAGACACAACTACGGCTTTTCGAACTAGGCAACTAATCAGCAACAAGTGTTGCGCGGACCGCCGCCGGTCCGGAGAAGTTTCTTGCCGGTCCCCGGGAACTTTTCTTCAGCATATTAAATTCATCACAGGTAGGGATGAAATCTGTTGTCTTTATTTGAACGGGAATGGCAGTTAAAATGATCTGATCAAAAATAAAAGCTGGCTTTCTTCCTGACAATGCTTCGGTTACATTTCCGCCAACTGAAATACATTTCAAGCATTTATTCTGAGAAACTTTTTTCAAAGCTCAGCTTTCTAATTTTTTGAAGACATTTCACTGTCGCTGCTTCATTGGATCTCAACTTCATTTTGAAATGAAAATTTTGGTTGGAGGACTTCATGAAAGGTACTGTATTTTAAACATGTCTGCTGGTCGGCAAAAAGTTCATGGAACTTCGCAGGTCCGCAAACAATTTTTATAGAAATTTGTAGGTCAGGGGGCCCTAAACGGTTGGGGAACGCTGAACAAGACCATTGAAAGGAGTACTGTATAAGCTTAATACACAGTCTTGAGAAAAATGTTTCAACACTTCATCTTACACCACGTTTATCCCCTCACTCCCGAAAAAACAGACCAGCTTCCATTGAAATGCGCGCTTCGAATACCGAAGCTGTACCTCTTCTCACAATCCGAAAGCTTTTTTTAATCATTAACACGAAATAAGATGGCATCGAAAATTAAATGAACCTTATGAAACAAAACACGACTCGGCCAAATCGGAACTAATTCAGCGCAACACAAAATGAAGGAACTCAACTGATACATACTTATAACCCAAAACTGTAAAATCAAAGTGAAACGTACAACCTCTGCAAATCACAAATGCGGGGAATTCGAGAATCGAAGTGAGAGGAACCTTACACAGATACTGTACACAGAAGTTGCACATGGTATGTGCAACATCAAAATCAAATTCATTGTATGTGAAAATTCAGGCGATTTTAAAGCTACGAGATTTGATTTTCGTCTGAATATTCGTTTCAAGTCTTACGAAGATTACCAATGAAATTGCTGAAATGAACGTGAAGTTCGCTCTACATTCATCATCACCTGGTTCACGCTAACCGGAACAGAGTTTGGCGGCGGATTGACCGAAGGAGACACCACATGCGCTAAAGGCCTCTGATTCACAACCCCCGTGACCACAGGTGGCGGCGGAGGCGGCGGCGGAGGAGGAGGAGGTAATGGTGGCAAAGGTGGTTTCACAGACACAGACTTTGATGGCGGTGGCGGAGGTGGTGGTGGGGGAGGCGGCGGTTGTAACACACATTCGGGCAAACTCGACATTTTGCCCGATCTCACCGGCACTTCGACTTCCCTGGATCCCCAGCCTCCGCGAAAGGGCGTTGAACGATCACGATGCTCGAACCTAGGCTGCCACCAATGACGTTCTCCATAATTATAACAGGATTCATCGTGATAATAGCTCGGTCCCGGGAAGCGAGGTCGGAAACCACGAGGAGGACTATAGAAATTCGCAGCATTGTGTCCACGGAAGCGTTGAAATCGAGGACGATGAGGTTGCCAAAACCGTTGCTCGCCGTACCAATTGTCTTGGTATCGAGTCTAGAACAAAAATCCCATTCTTTTCCAACAGCGAGTTCAAATGAACGCAATTTCACTCACGTAAGACATGCTTCAGTATTCCGCACAATAAACGGGTAACGATATGAATTCACTACCGTACTCGATCTGCAACAAGCAAAAATATTACGTTCAAAAACTTTCCGACTAAGGTTAAAATTCACACGACTTCGCGACGATTCCAAACATTTCCCTCGGTGCCCAAAGACACGAAGGCCCACTCAATTGTCAGCCTTACGAGCTTCAGAGACAAATAAGCGTTGCACATCATGGCGTCATAAGACACCCCATTCCTTTCTGAGTCCATGAGCAGCGTTTTCCATGTGTGCATGTTTACGATTCTTCATAAAAATAATTAAACGGAATTTACGACGCTAAAAATGTTGTCGCCCGCCGATTCAGAAACAATCGAGCAGGCGTCAAATGCTATTTTATCCTTGAACTACTTGACGCTTAGATATATCGACTATACGTTACAAATGGATCTTACTCGGCCCAAATTGCAAAAGCTGGTGAAATACCCACCTTTCAGTTAACCACAGAGGCGACTGTTGCCACGATGCGCGTTTTTACAGCTTAAATCGATAATGGAAAACTTCAGAATATGTATTAAAAAAACCGAACTAACGAACCGAACAATGAACCAAAGAATAGAGGAGATCAAAAATTTTGAAAAAAAAAAAAAAAAAAAAAAAAAACACACCAAAAAAAAAAAAAAAAAAAAAAAAAAAAACAAACCAAAAAAAAAAAAAAAAAAAAAAAAAAAAAAAAAAAAAAAAAAAAAAAAAAAAAAAAAAACGCTCACGCGAAAATCTAACCAGAACTTTTTCCAACCGAAATGAATTTCACTAGAGAGCAAAGAAATTAACAAAAAAAAATAACGCAAAAGAAAATTCCCAATGCACGAAAAAATGAACTTAGGAGCGGAGAATGAGTACTAGTATCAACAATAAACAAAAGGAGTTCTTCGAAGCGTTCACGACTCCTCTAGCCAACTTCTTGACTAGCATCCTTCAGAGGATCTTCCGCTAGAGGATTTTCTTCGAAGTCGCCGAAATCTCGCGTGACGCTTAAATTCTCCTCCACCTCAACCAAATCTTCGCTTTCTGGGTGCGACGTGTACATGGGATCAGACATTTGATTATATTCAGAACCTTCTGATCTTTCAGCCTCCACCGGACCACTGTAAGTAATGCAACTCTGCCCAACACCGTAGTTTTCTGCGCTTGCGTGCTGTGCGTAAACAAATATTTGAGGATCTAAACCGTCCATCGGGACGGACGTAGGCTGCACGCAATAATTGCTGCACTGCGATTGCGCATTCGAATAACTCATGTTAAAGGTTGGACTTGGCAAGGCTAAATTATTTGGTAAACAATGCACAGGCGGAATGTAGGGTGAAGGGTGACAAGCGTAGATTTGGTAAGGCTGATGACACCAAGAACACGTTGGTGGATAACAAAACCCGGGAAAATATCCAGGATTGACAACTGGTAATGACCAAGGTGCTGTAACAGCAGGTGGCATCTGGTAACCTGCGGAAATTTAAAATCACTGCATTTAAATCGTCCGAATAACTGAATCACAAGGAAAGAGCATGAAACCTCCGTTATACGATGCTATTCTTGCAATTCAGTTAACCTCACCTTAAAAATGACCTACTCGACGTAGCTGAATATTATAACATCTAATTGCAACACAAACGTTTAGACCTAATACATACGCAACTAACAACTTAATTCACAAGCAAACCTCTCACATGATTACAGTGGCGCTCTCCAAACAATTTCTCAGCATATTAACTTGAGGAAATGATGCGACTTGCAGAACGAACTAAGTTTTCCAGGAGGAACTTGCGTCTGCATCTGGCCAATGGGAAATTTTGACTCGCGGAACGATTCAAATTCATTCGACGGGGCACCAATGTAGCTTCAAGTGAAAGAACTTCTCACGGCAGTAATACAGTGGTTACGACTGATCTTTCACATGTATAGGTGACAGAATACAACTGAATCCAGGAACAATACGGCGGTATATCAAACGAAAAATCATCAAATCTGCTTCAACTATTTCCAACTCCCGCAATGCCTTCAACTAAAAAATGTATCGATCACTACCATATTCTATGCCAACACCTAAAAATATTTCGCGAATAGCAAACTTTGTTCAACATGAGATTCGATCTGAGGAAAACTCAACATCGCTTAGAACACGTATACTGTACAACACTTGAATTTATGCATGATCTCCACAAGGACAATTTTCAAACACAAATTAAAAAAAAAACTCACCAGGCGAGAAATACCGATGAATGTATTCAACAGGGATCACTCCACCCGAAAACCCCTGCGTCATGCTCACGTTCGGAAGTTGCTGCGGACGAAGAACGAATCTAGGCGGCGAATCATCGTGCCTCATGGAACATTGATTTTGACTCCCAGGATAATTGGAACTCGTAGAATCTAGATGATTCCCGTAACGACCCACTCCAACGTTGCAGCCAAATGCTAAATTATCACCTCCGGCTTCGGCAGTTTCAAACCGCTGTGCATCGCTCAAATCTCGGTCAAAATGCAACTGAGGTAACTGGTTTCCTTCATCTTTCAAATGGAAAAACAAAAACCATCGGGATATTTGTTCCATGCTACACATGTTACAACTCTTACGTGGGTCGACGTAAGTGTAAATATCGGTCGACTTCAAGTCTTCATTCTTCTCAATACCGCAAACTTGTGCTTCCATCGACATCTACAACTTTTTCAGAACAGGAATTTCGCCCCAAAAGAGATGAAAGAAAAGCTGTAATCCAATGAAACGGAGTAACGAGCTAAACGAAGGAAAGACTTTCACAAGAGCAAGTGTGCGTTAATTTTAAATACCACGAAATTTCTAAGAAAGCACAGTACCTATGGAAGGTCGATGAAGCAAACCATCCTAGGTATCCATTAAGTTCGCAATATTTGAGATCCTCAACATCCCATAAAATGTCCGTCGTTTCACAACGTGAGTTTCGCTGGAAATAATATACAGATAGTTCAAGTGCTTCAAAAGAAAAATAATATTTCGAACTCACCCGTGACAGAAAAATCGACGTTCAGACTTCATTCTATCACGATCACGAACCGCAACAATTCTGAAACGGATGGAGGCACATAAGAAACAATCCTATTGCTTCAAAGTTTTAGTGAAAAAAAGAGCATTTGAAGAACAGTAGATGACATTCCTTCAAACAAAACGACACTATTTCAAACGGGGAATATCACAATGCGAAACCCACTTCAGGAGCGTCCAATAGCACTTCGCTCGAAGTAAGCAGTTAATGGGCTGTTACGAATTTATCCGTTGCATACAGTTCGTAAGCAAAATCTTCAACGTGCCCAGGATCGAACTCCAACCCAATCCAATCGATTTCGAGTCTGAATGGACCACAGGCCTTATCCCCAACAGCGATACCCAAGCTCGATACAAAATTCAGGGGTAACACAAACTGCTTGTCTTGTACCCTTCCTTTGCTGGAAAGGAAGAACTTTGAAAACGGGATCTGTAATCAACCACATAATAATTAGATGATACTTCATATTTCACAAAAGGAATTGATATACCTTTGAATACTGCCAATGCGGACCACCGCGGGTATACAAAACGAACTGATACATGTCATTCCACCAGATATCAAAAAACCCGGCACTGCCAATATTAATGAAGTAAGGTCGACCGTCCCCTCGAACTTTCATGACTAGATGGGTGTACGTCGTCCAATCCCAATACGTGTCGCGCTTGAACGATTTCTGCAACGAACAGTAAAAGTTGAATAAATCCTCTGAGTTGCCCGAACTCGTGTTGGTCTCTTTTTAAAGCTATCCCACTCAGAGCGAGGTGAGCGAAACATTTCTTCGCTCATCCGCTAAGGCAAAAGGTTCAGGCCAGGATCAAGTTAGGTCAAATTTTGGCTGGAGCACATCGTTCATTGGGGGGTCAAAAATCTATTCGTTTTAGCGTACTGTACTTCGAAAAAAAAAGTAATGTGAAAGACCTAGATAAGCTGGGTGAGGTGAATATTGTGTAATAATTCAGAATGAGAAGTACCCACCCTTGCTCTCATTGACCGGATGCCACAGTACCCAGCGGTTTTCACGTTTCCTGATTCTGGAACCTTTGTGGTGAGATTTCCCTCGAACAAACCAGTTTCGTTCGGGCCGAGATGCAACCTGGATGTGCTGAACCCCTCACCGTGATCCGCATCGCTCGACACAGTCCATAAATCAAGGTCTGATTTACTATTGAATCCCCAAATCTTATCCGGGATGCCTATGCACGCGATGCGAATGATCAGTACAATGCCACGGAATCAATATCATTGAATGACAGAAACTATACCAGGTCGGATCATAGGGATGTCCATATCGAATTTGTCCTGCATCTCCTTCTTCCATAACTTGATCTCCTCCTTCAGCATCCCCAGGCCTTCACGAATATGTTCCTTCCCGGGTTTCTCAGGGCCTTGATAGCCAGATTTTGGATGGCTTTCGTGGAACATACCGCAAGCATGCGCGGAAGAATGGAACATTCTAACGCGACTCGCAAAAATACCGACCACTTTATTCAACTTCGTACACATCGCGATAATTTGAGCAACTCGCGATATCCTGAAACGAAGTACAGTAGATATTTAGAGAAATATACAATTACCGGTATATGCAACTAAAAATCAATTATTCATGCGGGTCATCTCCGTTTCTCTCGCACAACAATCTCGTCCAACTTCCGACATCACACGGCTATTAAGCGCGAGGGAATCCGTTCGAACAAAGTTATCACAAGAAAATCTTTTCACGACATTAGTGAATCGAACGTAATCATCGAAATTGGTTCCTGCTCATCAAAAAAAAAACGAAGTTGCCTTCGTACTTCCTCGTGAAGAATAACGTAGAAGGTTGCCGCTCATTCGAGACAATGATTCTCATACGGCTGACAATAAGCCCGAGTGAAGTCACACAACCTGAAGTCCGAACACAATCGTTAATACAATTACGGATCAGAATTATCCCCATTACTCCATTTAGTATCTTCGCAATGATTTAGTACAGTAGTTTTAAAAAAGAGCATAGGACAAGATGGTGTCCGGGCCCCGATTGCCCCAACAAGGCGGAAACTCCGTCATCGGGTTCATACAAACCCCATTCCGGCACATCGCCGTAACAGCAGCTGCGGCAGCATCCATAGTCACCGGCACCGTTTCACAAACATTCCACTCGGTGAGCGAACCCGAAATAAATCTGTACATTAAACTATTTCGCACTTATTAATACCCTACAGTTGGGTATCAGGTACCTGCGTAAGATGTCGCCAAAATACCGGATATGACCAAAAATATTGTAACGAATTTCACTGAGCATGATCCAGCGAAGCGTACTTGAATCTGAAGAACGTTAATTTGAATGCTTGGGGATGTTCAGTTTACAAAAAAACTGACAAATTGTACACTCGAACAGTTTCATGGCAAGGAAGTTCCTGCTCTTAAGAGTTTAAGACTCCTATAGATGTTTTCACTAGATTCTTATTCTTTAAGAGGAAATGAGCATCTCACACTTGAAGGGGAAAAATTAATAATCGGCATTCAGTACTATTTTCATTTAAAAAATCGATAACTATTTTTCTTACATTTTTCATTATGACGAGTTTGACGACCACGTCAAACAAAAAAAAACATCGATTCGTTCCATGGCTTTTGAAATGTTCACAAATTTTTCTATCGATGGATAAGATCGTGATACAGTACTCTAACTGTACTTATAATATCCAGTGCATTCAGAGACCGAGAGCATATGCGTCTTATTCTTCTTGCACAGTTTTTCTTAGCACGCGCACTCCTGTCTGCTATAGAAGAACCGTTTTCATAAAATTTCTTGAAAATCAAGTTGGGTGCATATGCTGTTGAAGCTGCCAGCAATTTATAATACTGTTGCACAAATTAACTTTGCAACTCTGCAGGCTTTCTCCTTACTTGAGATTGTATGGCAGCGATCACTTCTTCGTAATTTTGGACTAGCCCGCTTTGAAAAAAGAAATCACGGTCTCAATACAATATAAAAGGAACGAATCGACAATTGTGATTAAAGACGGATTATTCAACCTACAGCAACACCCAAAAATTCCGGCACAGAAGACAAAGCAAGTTCGCAAGGATGCAACAAAAACCCTTCCGATCGTTCGGCGTTCCGCACCGGTCTACTCCGTTCCGAGCCCGTCCAGACATGGAGATGACTTTAACATGCGACCGTACGAACTTAAACCAACACCTCCCAAACGCGTAAAATTGATGAGAATAAAAAGACGGGAATCCGGCTCTGACAAAATCATGGAACAGTGGATTGATCAACAAGCCAGACTCGAGTGAGTTTCTCGCTCCTCTCATACAACAATACTGTCAAAATGTATCTCTTACTCACGACCAGGGCAGCAAAGGCAAGATCAAAACGTAGAAGTAAGAAAGTCCATCGACAATCGTCCGGAGCCTCGCTTCAAGCGCCACCGAAGCGAACGGCGTATGACGTTCTGCTCCAGGATACGCATGCTGTCCGAGGCCCCAGAACATCCCAACAGATAAGCGTTCGGAACAGAGCAATTAATGACATTCACGTGAGTAATCGCGATTTCAGTCGACACATTTTAAAATGAATCATGAATATTCAAGACAACTCGCGTAATAGCAACACGCGCTTCGAGATCTCAAAAATCCGAGCAAACGGAAAAATCGATGGGAAGCAACTCCAATGAACCGTGTAAAACAAGATGAGGCGCTGGAATTTCTCGAAAGGCGCGATATGTTCGGTAATTTACTGCCTCCACCGGAAAGCAACGAAGATTCTATATTGGCAGCAGCAGCGACAAATGTAGGTTTAATAAATTTACTAGACTAGTTCAGCTCATCGCACCAACACATCTGAAAATTAGGTGCTTTTTTCATACACATTACAGTAATGTATAGTCTTAAAAGGCACCTGATTTTTATTCAACACCGTGCCTCGACACGTGCACCAGTTAAATAGTGAAAAGACGATTTTCAAACTCCAGGTAACTTCAACGTTTCCTTTTCCTCCCACTAAGAATCAGTTGTTGAGCTTGACTTAAGCTTTAAAGAAAGAAAGAGTATTTCGGTAAGGATTTCGAAGTGACTTCCCGTTTTCGTTTGTATTTACCCTTTGCCCGCGATTTTCTTTCTTTTTGATTCTCCCATAGCAGGAGGACAGTTTTGGGCTCTATCATTTTTTCAGGGCAGGTTCTGAAATTCGCACAGGGTATTGGCAGTTCACATAGATATTTCGGGGGATATTCAAATAGAGCAACTGATGATCGAGACTGATCCCTCCCATCCCGTCGAACAACCACATTAGTATCATAAGCATCGCTTCGAATATTTCAAGTAAACCGAATATTTCTGACTGCTGTTTCTCTTCAGCCAAAAAAGGAGAGCCGGAAGTCAGCAGTTCATCCCGAACATTACGTCGAACCGAGAGATCGTCATACTCGCCGTAAAGACGTCGAATTGTCCTCCATCTTGAAAGCTTACGTGCATATGAATCCGGGAAAGCAGACATCTATTCGCCGCCACAACTCCGGCACCGATATGGACTGTAATGACGACCGTGTCATTTCATCGCGCAGTGATAATCGAACAAAAGCTGCAGGAGATCGAAGAAATCGTAGAAAAACTCATTCTGAATACTCAACCACAACAAGCACGGAAGATCATGAGATCAATTCAGACTACACCGAAGATTACGGCCAGGGTTCTAAAATCCATCATTCGATTCGACGAGAAAATGGAGGCTCTCTTTCAGTCCTCGGCCAAGATACGTATTTCCAGCCGGACTTCTACACTCAAGCCCCACCTCTGAACCTTCAATTCGATGAAAACTCTGCGGAAATGCCGCTTTCCCCGTCCGCGCAGTTAGAGGTAAGAAAATCGCAGCAAATTACCCGCTGATTCGCATTACCGTTGACTTGCTGTTCATGAACAACTTGGGGAATTTTGAACTGTGTGACGTATGGGGAACAGCTTCCGCAATGACAAAATATATTTAATTTACTTGGGCATACAGCAATGAGGAGAAAAATTTATATCGCGAAAAGCGCACAAGATCTTTACTTTTACTGGATGATTTTCATGCCACTTGAGGAATATTCCATGACATGGGTTTTGAAGGTCGTTCGATACACATTAGTCTCACCAGAAATACTCAGTGATGAACCATTGCTTGGTTAAGATTGTTTAATCTTAATTCCTTACGGTTTACTTCGTAATGCTAAACTCCCAAAACCTAGCAATGTTGAAAGAAAACAAGACACGAATTGGGTGAAGTGAAAATGTAAAACAATTGAACCCGGTTATTTTCACCTCATTGCTTTTTGTAAATGTTCTTTGAATTTTTTCCGTCAGAGAGATCTTCATCAATCTCCGATGAATAGGATTTTCGTGAATCCGAAAGAAGGTCTTGATCCAGCAAGCTGCAAGAGTTCCACTTGAGTTCAATTTGTTAGCAATTTGACGGCCTTCGGCATTTTAACCTAGTTAAATGAACGGAGTTTGAAATGATTCTCATTGTAGGAAAAACTGAGACGACCAAAAGTTTACCCATCCAACAAATTCAACGAGTGATTACCTTTCCACCAGTGCAATTTTAATTACAAATAGCTTTTGACTTCCGATTTGAATTCCACTACCCGACTCCTGGTTTTTACAATATTCCTGCGAGTGATATTTAGAAACCGTGACCCTTTTTGGTACCGAATTCCTTCATTCCTACAGCTTATCCAATGCCTCGCGGAAAAAGAGCCAGCACTTCTGAAATTAGCTGAGAAGCTTTCATTAGTGAAGTCCAAGTCGCAGAAATCCTCTCCGCAACGGACTACGCGCCGTCCTGCCGCACGTTCTAAAGAAAGTCCAAAGTCCGAGGAGACGTCGCTACAAAATCAGAGTGGCCCAAGTAGGATTTGGTACTTGATACAGGGTGACTAACGCGCTACTAGAACGAGTTTATTTTTCGAAGAGTTTATGAAAAGGAAAAATTCAACGGGAATCTCGACGAAGTTCGCCCATAAGAGATGACGAACCTAAATAAATACAGCGTAAAATCATATACTGCACTGTACTGTATTACGCCAGCATACAAACGTGAAGAATGTTCATTTGGCTATAAGAACAACGTCAAAATCGTTCATTAATTTCGCACCCCCTCCCAAATCTTTCAACAACCCTTTCCAAAAAGGTGGACGTTTTCAACTCGCCGAAGATCGTGTTCCAATATCACGTAGTGCGTTGCTTACCCCGTTCACATAAACATTCAAAACAGAATATCGATGAATTAAACTACATTTTTCCAAAGGTAACTCAATCGAACAAGCTAAAGCTCCAGAATTGGACGACCACCCAGACATCACAGTTGAAACAACGATTCTTCAGGAAAACCAAAATGTATTCGAGCGGGTAGCCACTGCGAATGATCTTGGTCTTGTTCCCTTGAATAATGAGCAAGAGACTAGCTCGGATCGAGGAGGAACTGAACGAAATTATGAATGTCTTCAATCAAAGGAAAAGGCAACCCGCGAAAGCATTTGCGCTTTTACAATTGAAGAGCAACCCAAGCAACATGCGGCGAAAGCCGCTACAGATGCGATAGTCGCAGAGAAACCACAATTGACCAATACGCCAAAACTCGTGACACCGAAATGGATTCCCCCTCTGGAAGAAGAGATTAATATGTCTAGCAGTGAGAAATCAAGCGCGCTGAAACACTTATGGGACACTGTGTCCATGACATGGGCTGACCTCTTCTACGAGGATCCCGGACCAGACAGCGAAGGGCGACCATTCTTCAGTTTTGTTCCTATTATCGGCTACCCCCTGAATGGCGAAGATAAATGGGCCAAGTACACGGAACTTCAGAAGGCTGACGATTTATTCTCCAATTGACAAAATTGTAATTAATAAAATAGACGAAATTCTCCTGAATGAAGTCTCAATTCATGACCCGCTGACTAGAGACCTCGGCTCAGATTAATCTTGACACAATGGAGCATACAATTTGGCATCAGTGGGGAAGATAGTCGCTGAAATTAGCAAGGTCACGTACCTGCACGCACGAACCATCTCGGAACTGAACCTTTACTGCTAGCAAAGGAATGGGGACGCATTCCTGAGAATAAGAACACAATTCAAAAAATTCAGATGATACAATCTATTTTCGATGATCATTCACTTCGAAACAACGTTTTCAAAACCACACGATTGCCCGAACATATCACTCATCGCTCTCGTCAGCTTGAACGGTTGATCACCTGAAGGCAAGTTTGTTTAAGAACCACGAAACCGATTTTGTAAATTCGAACGGCAGTCAAATGGTGATTCAAACCGCTCAACCAGCAATTCCGCAAATATTTCAGCGCGGTTTTCAAATCCTAACGTAGGTGTCGTTAAGATTCAATCCAGTTGTCTTGCATCGATCCAACTACTATATCAGGTCAGGTTTTATAGGCTAGGTAATTTCACCTGATTTGTTAAGAAATGGTCGTAAAATTCAGCGAAGATCCTTGCGCTGAAAGCCAAAACAACCCCGCGGTCACCGCCTAGAATATCAATCTGTCCCTATGTCTTAATAGCGACACCTATGTTACATATTTTGATGCAATACAAGGAGTGGATGCCGGTAATGCCGTCCGCGGCAATGGCGTGCGGTACACAGAGACTCCGCAGCACAGAGTGGGGGTAGAATCGAAGTCGTGGCGTTGTCGTCTCGACATTTGCCGCACTCACACAACTTTCGAATTCGAAAGTCACAACTTTCGAATTCGAAAGTTGATTTAAAGGAGTTGTGTCGAAGATACAGTACTAGTTCTTGAATTTTCTGTCGGTGTGTTAGAGTAGCTCCTGATTTTGACCGTGAAGATTCTCGACCTTTTCCAGATAGTGGACGACGTGAATGTCAAAGTTTTGATTTCACTAAGATGCGGTCTGTTGAATATTTTCGTGTCTTTTCTTGCGACCTTGTCCGAATGCAGTATTGACGGATCAATCAGTGGAAAATCGTTGGAGCTGTCTTCCCGTGAGCGGTCGGAGTTGTTCCTGTTGAAGGTATTGTATGTGTGTGTGTGTTTTATGAATTGATACAGTATTAAGTTGGTGTAATTCATAAAATTTAATGGAGGCTAGACTAATATTCTGCATTGCATTTCCGCTTGATAACATTTGATAAGGGGAAATTGTAAGTTTTTTGTCGATTTTATTTGCGTCACATTCTGTCTTGCGATTAAATTTATGCTGCACCGTCAAGAAGCTTGATCAAAGAATTACCGTATTGCAGAGAGTAAATATCCGTGATGAAATTTCTTTGAACGTATCTGAAGACCATGTTGAGCAATCCAGAGGCCTTGTGAATCGTTAATTCTTTGTTGATCGTTCAGTACGTTCAGTAAGTTTTAAATCTGCGTCAATTTGTGTACAGTACACCATTGCAAATATTGGCACTTGTACAAATGCCCAAATATTTATTGAAGCATATGGCAGAAGCACAGCGTACAGCAAGATTGTTGATGAATAAGTCAACAAGGCTTCGAAGAAAGACTGCAGGATACCTCTCCGAATCAGGAAAACCCGTTCTTTCCAAATCGGTACTCGTAAATTTGCGAAAGGCTTCCCTGGAATCCGGTATAACGTGGTATCCTCCTTCTCGTGGCGTAATGCAATTTGTAAGTAACGCTGCCGAATTGACTCCCCTCGCTGAAAATTTTGACATTGTCATCCAAAACGAAAAAGATTTGTGTTCACATCGGAAACCCTTCACTATGTGAGATGTTGGAATTCTCGCTTTGAAGTTTGAACCCTCGGTAGGTTCCACAAAGCATGGCTAGCTCCGGGCCCACAATTCTCTATCCAGATGCAAACATCTACGTTCAATCGTTGCGTCCATGTGAAGATTTCGAATCGATCGGGACATTACGATGGCTAGAAAATCATGCTGCAATGGAGAAGCTCAACATGCAAGCCGCTTACGAGGCCCGAAACAATGTTGAAGAATCCGTGAAAGACCTGCTGATTGAACATAACAAGCTGTCTTTGTTGATTGAATCTGTTCTCAGCATTGAAACTTGGCGAGAAGTTGTATTTTGCCAAATTTTTAACTTGGAACGGGACCGTCAAGATTCTGTTTGTTCTTCGACGATTCCTTACATGGTACTATACCATGAACTGACGTCACTAACGCTATTGGAAACAGTGTGCTTTCACTCTGAATGTATTCTTGAACTCGAGGATGCGCTTGTGGATTTCATTGACTACTGCTGTCGTTCTGTGAGATATTTGATGTCGCAGTCAAACGCTGAAGAGAAGAGTTCCGGGAATCCAGAATTTTCCCACTTGCTGAAGATGGAAGCGAAAATTCGAATGGACTGTGCAATGAAGTGCATTAGTAATTTGAGAAACATCTCCAATTGTCTGGAAAGTCTGCCTGGTGGTATCCTGAACAGGTTCTTCCATACCAACGAAGTTCCTCTGCTCGTTGTCGAACTCTTGCTCGTCGCCCCGTGGTTTGATCGCAATCAGCAAAAATTATATGTTGATGGGAATTGGACTGATGCTGCGCAACGCCAAGAGATTCTACCTTGCGAAGCTCAAGTCTGGATTATTCTTCTCCAAAGTCTTTTCAGCTTGAAAACAGTGATAAGGTACGAAATGACGGACTTCAGACTTCAACAGCTCAGGATGTTGGAGCCCTTGTTGCAAGAATCTCTATTGGATCAAATCCCCGGGATTTCCGCGTTGAAAGACTACTTGGTTCGCTCTAACTTCACCCATGATCCGCGATTGAAAGGGGCTGATCACGTTAAATCATGCCTTGTGTTGGAGCTTGGTTCCCAACTTAAGGATAAGTTGTTAAAAATAAGTCAAGGGAAAAATTTTGGAGATTTTCAGCACGTGTTTCACGCGGATGCGAGTACTTTGGACGCGTATGCTCAGTTAATGGCGGATATTTATGACCTGGATAAGCTCGAGTTGTTGAGCAACAACCTTCCGCTTTGTGCTCTATGTGGAGAAACTGCTTCCAAAAAGTGTTCTTCCTGTCGAAAGGAGTGGTACTGTAAAAGACAGTGTCAAGTTGAGCACTGGCCCAAACATAAGCTTGTTTGCAGTGTTACTGAGCCTGACTCTTGAAGGGGGAAAAATCTAGTCTTCGAAGTGCAGAATGTAACCGATTCCGTCCAGAAATTTCACTTTAGGTGAGCGATGGTATTCTTGGAAACAGTTGTAATTTTATTCGTATCTTGGGTTACTCACTTTTCTCGCATCTTGGCCAATCTTGCGCTCCACAAAAATTCCACGATGGAAATACTTCGAAGGTTCCCCATACCACTTAAGAATGAATACTTTGTATAGATATACTGGTGAGTGTTATATGTTTGCTCTATCGAGTGTTAGTCATATCAGACTTACAGTAAATGTCGAATAGTGAGCAAAGCAATGTGTTCATGATTTTTGAGTGATTCGAAATCTAATGCTTGTGCTGAATTCGTCTTGATGTCAGAAATACGCTGGATCGAATAGGACAAAGAGGTGAAAAGTAACGCAGAAATCTTTCATTCATTTCTTGCTGACCACCGTTATACAAAATAATTTCAATTCGAAGAGGGACTTTTCGTGGGAATGATCGTAGTCGGGTTCTCCGGAGGATTCGGTTTTTGTGGATTACATTTTCGGTACGCGGGAATCGCGGGATTGAATTACTTACGTTATTTGTTTCAACCTTTTGCTAATGTATGTTGCTGAGCTTCAAGTTCACACAGCTTTCCTTGCGAGCCAGTTTCATCAGCATTGATCTGTGTTTTTTTGCCGCGGAGTCAAAGTTCATGCCATCAAACTTGATGACCTTTTCCTTCTTCACCGTTAAGCTGTCGATGCAGTGAGGCATTATCCCTAATATTTGGTGAATATGATGTGAATTTCATTTCTGATCAAGCGTTTGAAGTATAGTTCAAACTTCTCACCGACTGCGTCCGGATTCGTTCTCGGGATGAAGAAGCTTTGTACGCCACAGGTGCGGCAGAAATTATGCTTAGCTGTGTGAGTGTTGAAGGAATAAGTGAGCAGGTGTTCGTGTCCAGCTGTGATGCAGAAGTGATCCAGTGGCACGATGAAGTACCTGCTGTGCTTCTTCTTGCAAACAGAGCAGCTAGTTGTAAAAAATCGAGAATTGTTGACTAGCTATATGAGACATGAGGTCTGTTAGTCGATTGCCATCCGACCTGACGCTTTTCTAGAGCAGAGCGAGTGACGCGCAAGATTTTTGACAAGAATTACGCCTTTAATACCGTATTATTTTGCGGAGTGATTTGCCCCGCACTTTTTTTCTTAGGATTTGAGGAACAAAAACGGATTTCATTCCCGAAATACGTACCGAGTTGCGCGGGTAGGTTTTGCAACCTCGCGAAAAATTGCAATTGTCTTTGTCGTGGCCCAATTTTCTTTAACTACAGTACTGTATAGGCAAGATGTTTCTTATTCACGAGAAGCATGTTGTTACGAATCGCGAACCCAAGGTTTTTTTATCCATCAAAAGTAGTCTTTTCCCTTGTTTGATTCATTGGTTAACATGCGCATTTGATTGTAGCGTAATTGATTCGTTCTGTCGAGCTTTTCTTAATTTATACTGAAGTACTATGTGTGAGATTGCGTAGCGCATCATATGTCAAGATAACGTTTGATGGAGCACTTTTCGAATTCCGCAAGAAAACTCAACGGAATAGCTGTTACGCATACAGTATATGATGCGCTTTTTTTGCGTCAGATCACCCCAAAATTAAAGTCTTTCTGAATATTACGAAAATTGAAACGGGTTAGTTTACATGGTGGTCCAGAGAATGTCGAACCAATTGAAAAAGGAAAAAAAGAAAACGAGCACGAAACCGTGACATGTTTAATCTTTGAGTATAATTTTTAGGTAGCCTACTGTAATTCAACGGAGTTCAGGTAATCAGTAATTCAAAGGCCTGACGATGTGCAATTGTGAGAAAAGGTCTGACAATTTATTTTTCTTTCAGTGCTCTGGTAATTTTGAATGACATGTTGAGTCTTTATATTCCTTGAAAACTGGAGAAGGACTCGAAGTTAGCATTTTGTGGAAATTCTTCATGGGAATGCTTTGTTTTTTAGGCAATGCTGTTTTTCTATTGATAGCCCTGTAAAATAGTTTCGTGAGCCTAGAGAGTTCGACGATCAACTTTTTGTTGTACGTATTTGAAAAATTAAGTCAAATTAAGTTAATCGACGGCGCCTCAACTTTCCTTAATTACGCTGTATGACATTTTCCCCCCCTTCTCTCATATTTTCATGATTTTGCTCAAACTTGGTGCTTTATTAACATTTGTCTCGCCAGTTTGGTGTTCCGCTCAATACGAAATGCGCTGAAATCGAAAAATCGTCCGTGCCGGAAAATTAGGTTCTTGTGAGAAATGAGGAAAAGCTGTGTTCACTATTCTATTTTATGGTAGTTGAGAGAAGAATTATCTAAAAAAAACAAAGGCCTTCTCCAGTATTCAAAGCAAATTAAACCGTCAAACTCACTTGCATTCGATGACGCTGATTTCCTCGTCAGCGTAAACCTGCCACTTGACAGTACCGCAATGACAGCTTCCCTTATGCAATACTCGATGCACCATTTTGAGGTCTTTTTGAAGAATTTTTTCAATTCCGAAACCAGCAAAAAGTCAGAACGTGTCGCGATCTATAGCTATTCAACTTTGAAATCTGATCCGCGTGACGGAGAATACAACAAATATATAACCGAACAACGCGTGTTTCTGATTGGGGAGAATATGTAAACTTCCGCCGTGGAAATTATTCCTGTCAAAAGTGAGATAAAGGTTATCTGTTGGGAAAGGTGTATGGGCTCGTCTTATTTGAAGTCAGTACATCGTAGTCATCAATCAACAGGATGTGACATGACTTGTAAAGTGACATTTTGTGTAGATTTTATCGGAATTCTCGGCAGCAGACACTTTGGTCGCGCGATACTGAGTCGTATTCGAAAATACGTCCTTACGCTTTTCCGGGGTTCTTCAAATTCATCAAATACTTCGCACTTGATTCGTGTTTCCCTGACTCGTGGATTTTTATGAAAATGCACATACAGTATGTGTTCCAAAAATTCCTGGATTGAGTCGGTTGTTTCACACTTGCTATATTCCGGTAATTGAGATTGATATGTGATTTAGAAAAACTCCGAAATAATCGTCGAGTCCTTGGGAAAGTTTACCATGAGTGAGGTTAGTCCTGTTCATCTGTTGGAACATTCCAGAGATTATGCATCCTGATCAGCACCAAGATCCGTTTTTTCTGCACGTACTCGTTTTTTTTTTTTCAAGGTTATATATCTTTTATTCATTTTATGAATAATCATGTAGAAAAGGTCAGGATGGAGATGATTCTGGCGAGAAGAAACTCTGGTATATAGAAAGTCGCTGGAGGCGCGGCAATATTTTTCGTCTCTTCGTAACATTTAATCAATGTTTTGAAAAGAGTGCTTCGGTTTGATGCTTGTCCAATTATTGTTTTCCCGCAAGATGTTCTCCCGTGCAATTTTCTCGTTCATCATTTAATTGGGTCATTTTGTCGCTTGCGTCGAATTTTCTTCCTGGGTGGTCTTTTCTCCACATTCCCTCTTCTTTTTACAAGATTATCTCGCCCTATATATCCTGTCTCGCCGTTTTGTCTGACTGAATCCTTTTTTAGACTCCCTGATGAAAGGTTATTGTGATCTTTCGAAATGTCTGAAGAAGTATTTCATTCGATACATGGTCAGCGGTTCATAGTAATAAATTTTAATTGAGGGGTTACTTTCAATTGCAACGGTGAAAAGCGTATTTTCGGATTAAAGTTTGTCTTCGTAACTCGCGGATTGCTTCCATGAAATAAACTGGGAAGGGATTACCGTTTATTTTACGGTTGTATTTGTTTTGTTGAAGATGCATGGTCGACTTGAGTTAGTCGCACCGTTGGTATGTTCGGTTTAAGTTCGGCACTTGAGTACTGAATTGGAGAATTTTTGTGACATTTTTTTACGTTTGATGGTGCTTTTTTATTGAAAGTATTCCATTTTCGCAGAAACTTCTGGAGCTGTACGAGACGAAGCACTGGAAGGACTGGTTGATCTTTGCCGCACTGTCGGACAATCGGAGTACTTAGTCCGTCAAGCTTGGACCTAGGTAATTTTTTTTTTGCAGCAGATAAATTCAATCCGGTGAACGAATTATAATGATGGACACCAGACGTTTTGGAAATAAGTCGAAGAATGAAAGAAAGGAGTGGGGCTACACTTTTTATCCGTGCAGTGCAAATTAAGTTCTCTTTGGGCAACGTAGCTAATTCTTCCAGCATCCTTGATTTTCAACAGACGATCATTATTCGAACATTGCGTCCTTTGTGTGCCTTTGTTACTTCACCATGAATAAAAAAAAATTAGTATTATGCGGACACACGTAAAAAAACTACTTAAATCTTTTGGCAGTTGCTTTAATCGGATTTTGGAAGGATTGTTGTTCCTTTTTAATCTGGCAAGATTAGAAAAGGAATCCTGTTTCTTTTTAGGCAAGATTAGAAAGGGAATCCTTCACCACGAGTTCCCTCGATGCCAAAGTTGATTGAGCATTGTAAATACCCTGGAATCGTGAAACTACGTCCAGAAGTGTTTAGAAATGTGCAAAGAACGTCTTGCACTGAAAAATACTGTTGTAGCATCCCGAGACGAATTGTCGAAGTCTTTTCTGATCATTAGTTCGCACTGTAAACACGGTACTGTGTTGTTTCATTGTTGGCTGGGTAGTTTTTCGGCGTTTTCATTCAGCGTGCAGTTTTCTGAAAACAACCCCCACTTTGCATCATTGTTATGGAAAGAATGAAGACGTCTCCGAAATATGATTTATTCGTGACGAAAGGTTTATTGAAATTCAGTACTGTACATGAAGTTTACCACATAATGGCCCGATGATGACAACATACTTGAGCGTAAGAGGGGCTCCGTTCGTCGTGTGACTGAAAAGATATGCAATTAGCAAGTAACGTAGTATCCCGCTGAGGTTTATTGTCGGCATCTTGGTCGATTTTTCGTGGCAAGCCCGGCAAGGGATGGCATCATCCGTTTTTTTAACGGAGACCAGAAGCCTGTGTTCGGCTTTTAGTGCTATCCCGGAGAAGGTCTGAGACTGAAGCCGAGCTCTCGTTTCGAGAGCTTCATGTCCTAGACGGACACGTTGTGAAAACGACGGGGAGGGAACAGAAATCCCTCGGTCCTTGACGGGTGTCGAGGATCGAGTCTGACGATTGCGGTTGTGCCGACGAAGGTTTTTCAGAACCTGAGGTCGCGATCGTTCGGTTGGAAGCTCTCCTGGCTAGCTGAAAGGAGTCCAATGCTGGAAGTTCGAGTGATTCACTTGGGCGAACTCAATTCAGACTACTCTGCTGCGAAATTGACTTCGTTGTTGAACAGTAAACCTCAGTAGTCAATTTTTTGTTCTTCTCTTTGTAAGCGATTGCATATTTTTTACCGTTGCTGATGGACGAGCTTGTGTCTGATGCGCTTTGATTATGAGAGCTGAGGGCCAATAGCCAATTTGAATATTGATTTGATCGGTGTTCGTGTGTTATCTCAAAAATATAATTTCTTCTGAAAGGAATGCTATCGAAAGATGTCAAGCGCTGCCTATTGATTTACGCGTCTGAAACTGGACAAGCGAAAAGCATCGCAGAGGAGATTCAGCATTCCGCTCAGGGGCACGGGTTCTTTTTGGATGTGAAGTGCGTCAGTCGCGTCGATCGAGAGGTTCGATTATTTCGAATACATGATATTTAGCTGAAGTGTTGAATGACGAGATTATTTTCCGCAGTTTGATCTTACTGAAGAAAAGGTCGTGATCGTACTTGCGTCTACTACTGGAGACGGAGAGCCTCCGGAAACGGCGAGGAAATTTTATCGCCGTTTGAAGCAAAAATCGTTGCCCTCGGATCATTTAGGACATTTGAAGTTCGCTCTCCTTGGTAAAAAAAAAATATATATATGTACTTTACATGTTTTTTTCACTTTTTCTGCTTATTGAACTTGTTCGGCTTATTGACATTTTTTATTATTGTTTTTTAGCTTTGGGCGACACTAACTACACGAATTTCTGCAATTTCGGAAAGTCGGTGAACAGACGTTTATTGGAACTCGGAGCGCAGAGTTTTTGTAGAGCGGCTTGGGCTGACGACGCGATTGGGTGATAGACATCAGATGGGTTTCATTGAAAGTTCTCGTGCTCATCGAAGTTTCATTGATTTTTACAGGCTAGAAGTTGTGGTGGAGCCGTGGATAGAAGATCTTTTTCGCGCTCTGCATTTGGAATTCGCAGATTCGAAAAGCTGTCGAGTCTGTGATTCCCTGTTTGCGGAACAATTTTGCAACTTTGAAATGGATGGAGTCACCCTTGCGCATTCGCCGAATCTAGCCAAGTTAGAGTTGAACTTGCCACCTGCTCCTGCTCCGTTTCTGTCGATCGAGTTTCGGGATTTCTCTCAAGATGAGAATAGGAGTCATCATTTGAAGAATCCTCCGAGTCTAGACCCGGACTCGGAAGGAGTTTTCTCTGCAAAGTTTCTGAATACTGTGGAACTAACGATGAAAAACGCTGATAAACTGAAGTACGAGATTGAATTCCGGCCCGAAAAGGTGTGTTTATTGCAAATTTTTGAGATTTTTCTTCGTTCATTTCGACTGTTCGTTTCGACTGTTCGTTTGTTCACATTTATCCAAATTGTGCCTCGAAAAGAAATGACATGCCGGGCATATTTTTAGGAAATCACATGGCGTGAAGGAGACTCTTTCGGACTATTTTGTCCGAATCCATCGGAAGAAGTTAACCTAGTACTTGAGCGATGCGGAGTCTCAACTCAAGATTCAATACGTGAATTCATAATCACTAAAGACGAGGATACCAAGAAGAAAGTGCCTGATCATCTCCCTGTGTCTGGATGTTCGCTTGTGTATGTTTTCACATATTGTTGTAGCATCAGGATGCCGTTGAAGAAGGTGAGTCTTCGACCATTCTGCTGAATTTTGTTGTTGACGTATATCCCTTACGCAGGCGTTTTTAATGGCTTTAGCTGACTGCTGCGAAAATGATGGTGAAAAGCGAAGATTATTGGAGCTGAGCTCTCGACAAGGAGCCGCTGAATACTCGAAACTCGTATCGGATGCCGGACTGACGTTGTTCGATTTGTTGGAGACGTTCATTTCTTTGAAACCTGATCCTAGTCGTCTGTTGGAACATTTCCCAAGGTTCGTAAAATGAAAACTGATGGTTTCAATGTGGGTGGAAGTAACCGGTGATTTCGGTGGTACGAGGAATTTTTTTTTAGCTCCCGAGCGATTTTTCAAAAGCTCTTCACAATATCAGCAAGTCCAATAAACTTATGTTTGGCATCATATTCCAATGATACAGAAATGGATTTCCTTTATCGTTTTTCAACATTTTGAGCATCTGATATTTATCTGCGCAAAGCATGATGTGACCAGTTTTGGAATTTACTTCAATGTGATTGCAGATTGCAACCTCGAGCTTACTCGGCAGTATACTCATCAGATATTTGCAAAAGTTTGAAGTTTGCGTACACCTATGTCGAATTTCCGGAAAGCAAAACAAGGAGCCGACGACAATTCGGAGTTTGCAGTAGTTGGCTTCGTGACAAGTTCGGACCAGATTCGATCCCGCTTGAGGACCTATCTTTGGAAGCAACTCATGCTGCTACTGACAAGGTTTGTCCTAATGCTCAAGTTTTGTTTCGGTGTCAGTCAAATAAGAGGAAAATTGATTTTTCCTCCCAAGATTTGGATTTACAAGAGGAAATCAACAGGCTTTCATCTTCCGGAAAATCATCTTGATGTTCCAGTGATTCTTATTGGTCCTGGAACTGGAGTCGCTCCTTACATTGGCTTCCTGGCGAAGAGGAAAGAAGATTTGAAGAGGGCTGAAAAAGACGATTTTAAACCTGCGCAGTGCTGGTTGTTCTTCGGCTGCCGGCATCAAGAACGAGACTTTCTTTACGAAGGAGAAATCCGGAAATACCTGGAGGAGAAGGTTCTGGACAAAGTTTTCGTGGCTGTGTCGGGCACCGAGTGTGGTTTTATTTTGGGCAGTTCTAATACAGATCAAGAGTTGGGATCATGCAAGTATGTTCAAGTGAGTACGATGTTTTCCTCAACTAGACATTTCGGTACGTCTCGAAAAGAAGCATGCAGGAATAGTTCGTCTGAGAAAGCTGAATTATGTAAGAATGTATGTGTGACCGGTTACCATTTACCGGTACTTGATATCGAACACGAACCTGGTTTATAGATGAGTTTTTTTTTTTTTTAAGGATTCTGTCTTACTCATGAACGAGATATTTGCTTGAAAAAATACGGACATCGTTTACTCAATAGCGCTCGTCGTTCCTGTTCTTTTTTGTGCGTTCCTGTAATGTTGATTCAATAATGTGCGTTTCAGGATGCCGTTCGAATGGTAAAGCACGATGTACGAGAACATTTGGTGAAGAATTCCGGACATGTTTTCGTTTGTGGGGATGCAGTTGGAATGGGAAAAGCGGTGCAACAAGTGTTTATGGAAATCCTTGCTGTGGAAGGTAGGAATTTGCGAATTACAGTACTGAAGTATGAATCATGCTTGATGAAATCCTGAAAATATTCACTTATCCTCTTCAGGTTCTTCCGATCCGTCCAAAAACGAAGAGTTTGAAAGGATGATCCGGGAGAAGAGATATCATCAGGACATTTGGACGTGAAGCTCTTTATTTTCACAGAGATGAGGGCATTCGCGTTGAATGTTTCAGAGCTGTTGAAAACTAATACCGTGCTTGGTTGAGGGATGGAATTTCAAGAAGACTGAACCTTTCATTCGAAGCCAAATTCCATCAGGAAAGGTTAACGAATTTCAACGTACACATTCTCTCTTGCGTAGGAAGAGTGAGATTGTTTTTATCGCGCCTCAGCAGCTACGCAGTGCAAAAGAAGATGAGGAGAGGGGATCGAATAAATTTCTTGGCGCGTTCATATCTGTGCGAATATAATCATCATTGGTACCCTTCGTGATCATCTTCTTCGGGAACTTCAAGGTCAGTGCAACAATGTATTTTGACGTTAGTAGAAAAAAAGAGGGTATGGAAAAGCTCACCGTCCTGAAGGACTGGGCAGATGAACTTTTCGGATTCTCCGAGAAATTTCATGAATACCCCTGTGTTTACGGATGATGACAAGATACTTGAGCGGAAGAGGGGTTTCGTTCGTCGTGTGACTGAAAAGATATGCAATTGCAATTTAGCGAGTAATATCCTGCTGAGGTTAATTGTCGGCAGTCTTGGTCGAGTTTTCGTGGCAAGTCCGGCGAGGGATGGCATCATCCGTTTTTTTAACGGAGACCAGAAGCCTGTGTTCGGCTTTTAGTGCTATCCCGGAGAAGGTCTGAGATTGAAGCCGAGCTCTCGTTTCGAGAGCTTCATGTCCTAGACGGACACGTTGTGAAAACGACGGGGAGGGAACAGAAATCCCTCGGTTCCTTGACGGGTGTCGAGGATCGAGTCTGACGATTGCGTTTGTGCCGACGAAGGTTTTTCAGAACCCGAGGTCGCGATCGTTCGGTTGGAAGCTCTCCTGGCTAGCTGAAAGGAGTCCAATGCTGGAAGTTCGAGTTATTCTCTTGGGCGAACTCAATTCAGACTACTCTGCTGCGAAATTGACTCGGTTGTTGAACAGTAAACCTCAGTAGTTAATTTTTTGTTCTTATCTTTGTAAGCGATTGCATGTTTTTTACCGTTGCTGATGGACGAGCTTGTGTCTGATGCGCTTTGATTATGAGAGCTGAAAAATCGTTACATTTTTCCTTCAGAAGCGTTTTTGCCGCAAATTTCAAACTTCGTACTGTATATTTTATTTTATTTTACTTGATATTCGGTTGCAGTTCACATGCGAGACCTCCTGACTGTCTGATGCTGTCGACGTAGTCACGTCGAGCTTGGTTGGTGAGTATTTTTTTTATCCTTCGTATTCCGCTGGACTTCCTTTCAATGTCTTTTCTTGTTAACGTCGGATTCCTGCGTTTGAGCTTCGGAATTTCTTTTGTGCTGAAGTTTGTGTAAATCTGAATGTCATGTGAGGTGACGAAGCTATTTTCTTTCTGATTCCTATATTCGAGTAGCTTTTGCCATACCGCTGCCTTTGCGACCGAAACTCGCTTAAGATGACGGAGGAGACCGAAATGCGTGTTCCGAAAGATTTCTTCCATTTCGTTTCTTTTCCTGTGCTAATCATGCCATATTGCATGGGAATGAATATGGTGAAATTGATTGATGTTTTTCTTGCATTCGTGCAGTAATGCGATATGCTCTCCTTCTTTTTAGATTGGCGCATTCAATCCTGAAGCTGTGCCAACTGGATTGCCGTTGAGTACTTTTTTCAAGTACTTGTGCGATCACTATTACTACATCGTCGTCGTTCCTACGTAAGTTCACTTTTTCATTATATTCCGTGTTGTGCCTGCATTTTTTTAATTCTTTTTCAGAGCGTTCATTGCAGTTGGAACTCACCTCATTGAAATCTCGGTCGCATTACCGTACATACGGAAATACCAACTGACTTTCAAGGCGGCAACGTTGTGGATTTTGTCAATATTTTTCATAGGATTTCCGTGCTTGAATGCTTTACGTTGGCCGGATCCGGAAAAAATCAAGCAGCATCTGGAGAAAACCGGTCGATCTCCAGAACCTCGTGATTCTACCGTTGATGCGAAAAATGATTGACTAGCATTGCAGCAGCCGTTGATCGAATCCACTGTGTGAAATCTTACGCAAATTTGCGAACACAAGATTGTATCAGCGATGCGAAGCTGCTGCACTTGTGCGTGATTCTTTGAATGCGAGAACAATGAAGGTTTTTGGCTTATGGGACTTATCATCTTCCTTTTTTTCATGTGATTTAATTCGATTGGTTGATCAATAAAATTAGTCAATTCAAGCATGACGTCGTGGTTCAGCCGAGATACTGGAGTATCTGTCAGACTTCCTGAAAACTTCAGTCCGATTGATTATGATGTGCACATTTGGCCTCATATGTTGGATGAACCGGAATGGACCTTTCAGGGGCACGTTAAAATACGCATGGAATGTCTCAAGTGGTCCAGAGTTATCACGCTACATTCGAAGGATTTGAGTATCGACGAAGAAGCGGCATGTGTTTCGTGAATGAATCGAATTCGTTACATCTTGGGTAAAATTTTGATGTCTCCTGTAACTTCCAGGTCAAAGTTCGTCTGGATGATGGAGAAAAGGTAGAGATTGAGAAACAAACGCACGAGACGTCGTCGGAAAAGCAATTTTATCACATACAAGTGGAGGAAGACGTGAATCCCGGGGAGATTCTCGATGTTCACATACCATTTCGCGGGCGTCTTGCAGAAGGATTCCAAGGATTCTTCCACGTGAATTATGAAGATCGAGATGGGTCTAAGTAGGATCCAACTCTGGAATTCACTTCGAATGATCTATTGATCTAGAATGTTATTCAGGGATATGGTTGCTACGCATTTTCAGCCGACGAGTGCCAGAGCTGCTTTTCCGTGTTTCGACGAACCGCATTTCAAGACCCCGTTCAAGATCAACGTTGCGAGGCCGAAATACGAAAATTTGCAATCATTTTCGAATATGCCTATCGTTGGGACGAAGCCTGTGTTAGTTCCACTAATACTGTTCCATGCTTTTTGTTATTTTTGAATCGCGTGTGGTTTAATTCTTATCTATTTCCGCATCAACTCTCGATTTACCATATTTTACTACCTCTGATCAATCAAGAAAGAATCGTTTCTCATCTTTCTTTTTAATGAACTAGTGTATTTAGAGTTCAATTTTTAGGTTTTCTGCCCCAACCGAGGGTTTCATTAAGTTTTCTGGTGTTTTTATGTTTCACTTCGTCAATCTAAAAAGTATGTTGGAATTGTGTGCTGATGATCATGGAATTCAAACCAACTGCAAGTGTAACAACTTCAGATTTCACAAAATGTTCCAAAAAATGCAGGCGAATGGTTTGTCGTATTGCAGCCCAACTAATTTTGTGTGTAATTTCATGCGTCTGCACATTCGAGCACTTGATCAATTCGAGAAAAGAGTGAACGAATCGCTATTTTTTTCAGTTCGAAATTTTGAACGTGGTAAAAATATTTATGAATCCTGCGGGGATGAAAAAAACCAATTTGAATTCCGATATTCATGAAAGAAAAATGTGTCTCTTCTTTACTGTTAAGATCCTTCATTTTATACGATGTGTTGAATAAGTTTGTAATGAATACTAAAATATATTTAATTTTAAATTTTTCTACTCATGGTAGTGAATCATGATTCAGCTCTCCGAAGTAGATTACGTATTGAAGCTCGTGAGTAGATGTACAGTACTTTTCATCGTACACCTTTCATCAAAATGGCCGCCATGATTTTCGAATTTATTATTTTCGGTGAAGGGAAAGAGATGAAAGGTACATCTGGGACGTGTTCGATACTTCCCCGCCGATGCCGACGTATTTGGTGACTTTCGTGGTGGCTGATTTTACGGTTTACACGGCTAGCGACTGGTTCCAGAGGCTCATTTGTCGCGAATCTATGAAGGAAGAGATGACCTATGCCTTGAAAATTTTGCCTTACGTGTTTTACGAGGTCAGGGCCTTGTTTCGAGCTCCCTATGCTCTTCCAAAGTTGGATCATCTTGCAATAGTTGGTTGGAATGGCGGTATGGAGCATTATGGACTCATCACTTATGGGTAAAAATGTGTTGTTCTCCCGATTTTCGCTCATTTTTTGAGCATCTTGCTTTTATCTGAGATGGGTGTCATTGACTTTATGCTAAAGATTTGAATGTTGAGATCGATTCCGAGCCACGGCAGTGTTTTACTTCATGGTTAAAATGAAGAAAGAGAAACTTCGTGTGGCGTAGGTATATGACATCTAGAACTCTATTGGAGCTGAACGGTCGAAAGGTTCTCTTTAATTATTTTTTGGTATTCCCATAAAAATGTATATTTGCAGGGAGGATTCCATCGCCGTTGATTACGATATTGAGGGTCTGGAGTTCAATCGACGCAAAAATATGTCATTGAGCATAATTTGTCATGAAACCTGTCATATGTGGCTCGGAAATTTGGTGACAACTAAATGGTGGGACACGATTTGGCTAAACGAAGGAATAACTCAGTTTTTTACGCACTACGTTGCCGGCAGGGTATGTATACTGATGCGTTACTTGGAAAGTAGTTGAGCTAGGGTTTGTAAATTGCTCTTTCTGAAATCAAGATTTTCAGTGTCGTTTCAAGAGGAAATGCTTTGTTTGAAAGCTTCAAATTCCGTACAGAGGAGCTAGAAATGATATACAGTATATCTTCCTTTTTATCAATCGACGGAAGATAAAACGCGAATTTCATGGATTAATGATGCATTACCCTGAAAAGGAATTGACAATCCTTTGAAACAACGAATACTGTATCCCGATGATAAACACGATAACAAATACAGAAGTGTGAAAACAATTAATCATTATGCTATTGTTTTAATATTCAACACACGTGTGATATGTTTTTTTTTATAGTAGTCTTTTTGATGACTTAGTTGTTGCATATATCTTTCTTCTCAGTTGCTTTTTTTTGCTTGGTCGAAAATGTTTCTGCCTTGATTTTCTTTATTGTGGCTTTTTAATTGGCGTAGTTTGCTTGGAAGGCGTAACTATGGTACGTTTGAATTATAGATGATGATCTTTCTTCAATGGAAGATCTCTGTATTCGCAGGTAGATCCGAACAGCAATTTGGCTGAGATGTTGCCGATTAGTCTGACGGAAAGGGCGATGTTGTATGATGCCGAGCGAACAGCTATTCCTATGGTGGAATCCATCGAGAAAAACTCCGAAATTCCGCGAGCGTTTAGTGCCAAGCGAACTTATTACAGAGGTACAGTATTGCGGCAAATTCGGGTACCCTTTTTCAATGTAAATATTCATTCGCTGAATACGTCCTATATTAGCACTGTTTTCGGACACACTATTCCACTAGAAATCCGCGCTCAGCTGCAAGAGCTGCCCTACGAAGAATTGAATCTTTCTCCCTTGCCCATCTTTCAATTTTCGTTATGATGTTCCTCGGAATTTGAAAATTCCGCATTCCTTTTAAATCCCCCACTCTTCTTTGAAGTATTCTGCCTTCGGTCTGAAAATTCTTTCGGCCGTGATGATTCTTCAAAGAAGAAAACGTACAAAACGTTCCTTCAGAAGTTGTAATTGATGTATGGCGTTGCTATCTTCCGACGAAAATCAGACCGATTCCGACAATAAATCCTATTCCATTTTGAATGTGAAATAATGATACGTCACGATTTTCAATTTTTTTAGGGGTACGCGATATTTCAATTCTGTACTGTACTGTATTCACGGTCTCATTGAAATCAGATGCATTTCACCCCACGTTCTATCCCATCATGCAGGAGCTGCCATCACTAACATGCTGATGCACATAATGTCTGAAACACGATTCATTTCGGCAATTGTGAATTACGTCAAGAAATTCGCGCACAAGAGCGTGGGACAAGAAGACTTCTTCGACGAGATGGATTCCGTGGCGCGGATTTACATGAGAATCCCGCGCTGGCACTCCATTGATGACATCATGGGTCCGTGGACGAAGCAAGTCGGCTTTCCTCTGGTCACCGTCAATAGGGATTATGACAGAAATATGGTCACTTATTCCCAGGTGATGAAATGACGATGCTCCGGCATTTGTCAGTACTTCATAGCATAGGGAACCTTGAAATGCGAATGCTTTATGAGTCAGAATCGTCCGGAGCTCTTTGGGATCATTAATAAGACTTCATGTGATGGTGGACACCTTCTGTACATTTACTGGATATTTTCTCTATTGCAGCCTTTATTGGCTTGTGCAAGTTCTTGCTCATAATTTCAGGGTTTAGGATAACCTCCTTGTTTGGCTCTTGTGACATGATCCTCTTTTAAGTAGATTTTTTGTGTCCATCGAGATGCCGCGTCATTCTATAGCGTGGACAGATGTCACTGGCATGGGACAGTCCTGATAGTGCATCAATTTTATTGAGTCATTTTACTATACAATAAGTTGCGTGTACCAGTGTTCCCCAAACCATCGTCTGCAGACTGGCGCCAGTCTGCGGGAATTTTCTGAAGAATAATAAATTGATCAAAATTAGCAATGAAGTCTGTTATTATCTTTATCTGGAATTTTGCAAAAAACAATGGCAGTGGAAATTATCTCATGAAAAAATAAAAGTTATCTTTTCTCCTAATATACAAATTCAGACAAATTTTCACCTGCTGAGATATATTACTTTATTGTATTCTTTCATTCTGAGAAACATTTCTTCAAGCACACCTTCCTATTTTTTTCAAAGACCCTCCCCTATAGCTGCTTCATTTGTTTGCAATTATTTCAAACAAAACAGCCATGTTTTAAATGCCTGCCAGCATGAAGTCTTTCAAGCAACACTTTTTTGATTCTGTAAAAGGTTGATGAAACTTTGCTGGTCTGCAGAAAATTTTAATGAAATTTGCTGGTCTGCGGGCCCAAAAAGGTTGAGGAGCACTGGCATATACTGTACTGCTGTGTGTTCATGAACACTGCTGCAGTAGTGTATTACAGTACCAGCAGTATTGATTTGGTTTCTGAATTATTGGAGATTAAGGAGGTATGATGGGCATACTATATTTCCTGCTTCTATAGAAGTTCTTGAATTATTTTTAAACTGTATTCAGACCGATTTTGATTGAACTCAGTGTGTGTTTTCTTTTTGTTGCTTTTTTATACCTTTTTTAACGCCTGCTGATTCAGCGCGTTCCTCGCCGTGTTTTCTCGATGGGAGGTTTTATTTGCGCTCTCCTTTCAGAAGCGATTCAGGAACATCAACGGGAATTTGCACTCGGATGAAACGAAGTGGGTGATTCCCATTACCTTTACAACGGAGGTCGACAAAGATTTCACTGCGACATCCCCCGAATTTTGGCTGGCCGGACAGTCCACTGAGAAACCTCTGAAGCTGGATGATGACGACTGGCTTCTTGTGAATGTTCAACGAGTCGGTATGCTTCTCCTCTCTTTTCCTCGACGTTTATGTTCCTTTAATTATATGAGGGTCCAATTTGATGTATTCGTTTTGCATGAGACGAGGGAAAATACCAGGAATTTCTGTAGATGGACAATATTTTGAAAAGCTTTGCTCCCCTTGAGGTACATCGGATAATACACTATATTGACCACTGCGAAAGCGGGAATATTTCTTCGAATTATGAGAATAAATTTATGCAAGACGGATGAGAACAGTTTACGATGGATTTTTTATTTTTTCAAGTCATCGTTCGAATGAAATGCCGACGAAAAGTCGAGCGTGGAAAAATTTCTGGGATGCACTTTTTCGTCTTGAAATTTACTCTATTGAATCGGAATAGTTAAACTGAGATGGATATGCACATCCATCACTTGAATTGTCCTGAGATGGACACCATTATTTTTCATTGCGTGATTACCAGCCTGGAGTCGTCTTTTCGCGGAGTTCTAATACCTTTCTTCAGAACGAATTTCGTACTATGAATGCTCAAGATACACTGTATTTGTATCAACGGTTTTGTTAACCCAGCATTGTCAGCAGTGCGTGATTTATTTTTACTTGTAGTATAATAAAGGATTGATCCAAACACCGTTCTTCAGGATATTACCGGGTTAATTACGACACGGAGAATTGGATGTTGTTGGTGGAGCAACTGCAGAGGGATCCATTGGAAATCCATGTGATTAATCGAGCCCAGTTGATCAGCGACGCTTTCGTATTGGCCTCGTACAATTTGGTCGATTGGAAAGTCATTGAAGGATTGGCGGAATATCTAAAAAATGAAGAGGATTTCCTTCCTTGGCTCTCGGCGTCCAAGCATTTGTATGCTTTGTCCACATACTTGCCAGACTATAAGGACCATAGGGTTTGTGTTTTGCACTCATTGAGTGTTGCTCTGGTGCGACATCTACCCCGCATTCGAATCATTCACGCCTCGATTCGATCCTCTGATGGGTTGCGCAATAAACTTTTTTTTTGGCATTTATTTAGGAATGGGCGACGCAGTTGATCCTGGATAGTCAGTCGAAACTGATGTCCAAGTTTTCGGCGGCTTCGATTGGACAGGAGATCGCACAGGCTTTGGAGATTCCAGGAAGCCGGAAACAGCCGAAAACCATCAACCATAATTCGGAACGCAAGGGGATGTTGATTAGCATTATGAAGAAGCTGTATCACGACTTCCGGATGACAGGCGCGAGTGGTGCTCATGAATTGTAAGTCTTTTTGATTCATCTTCCTTCCATCTTTCTGTAATTGACTGAATTTCTGAATGTCAGTCTGATAGACGAAGAAGTATTCTGGGACCAACATCTGGCTCACAGAAGTTCCGGGTCGGCGAATGATTCGTCGAAGCCCAACGGTGCTGGGAAGAAATCTCGCGTTTTAATGGATTGTTCACCAAGCTAATCGAATATATCCTTTTCTAAACGATGGTCGGTGAATAAATTGCGCGAAAAAGTTTACTTTTCCTGAAATGTTAGCATTGCTAGGTCTGAATTTGTGGAAAATTTTGGAATGCCTCATTAAGGTGATTTTGTAGAGAAACATTTTAATGAAAATATATTCCTGTACGAGGCACATTTACTAGTTTTCAATGATCAATGACTGTAATGCAGTATTAACATCCTCAATCAATACAAATTCAAATTAAATTAATGAAAAGTTGCAATAAATGAATCAAAGCATAAATCTGATCATATTCTTGCCTTGTTGAGCTTGAAATGCTTATATAGGTGGACTTTCTCTGCAACTGTCTTGTCTACAACGATTTTCTATGTATCAAAAAAATGTTTGGTCCCACAGGATTGTCTCTACATTTTCTAGGAGTTCTCTACAACAAAATCCTCCCTACAATTAATTTTTTCTGGTTCATTGTGTTTTGTTTTAGTGAATCCACCTGTACTTGAAGTGTTTTCATTTTTTTTGGAGAAGGATCCTGTGATTTGAATATTATACTTGTATGTTGCACCAACATTTCAATTTTGGGAGCCTTCAATGCAGGGGATTTTTAATGTATTGTTCTAAGGGAATTCAGAAAGGGACTTGAAAAAAAAATTCAGCATAAGGAAGTAGAGTATTTGACTGGTTCAAGAACAGAAATGGAGTTTCAACTGTATGTTAAGCATTGTGATACCTGCCATGCAGAGACCTAATGTACTTAAGTCTAGTTAGCCAACATAGTCTAAAATGTTCCTGACCTTCTTTTCCATGTAAAGAACATAACTAAGTGGAAAGTTTTTTTTTTTTAATTGGCAACTTCATCTGATTATACAGTACAGTACAGTAGTGTACTCTAATCTCTTACATGTGTTATTTGCAATTGCAAAATTTGATTTTGAGAAATAAATTCGACAACATTTGCGTATATCAATCTAATTAATTATCTTCCTTCTCTCTGCAGTCCTTTCATTACATAAATTCCATATGGTCAAAGACGCAGCACTCGAAGAAAAAAAAAAGAAAAAAAGAACGAACAATGAAACAGACCCACTTTTCCCCACCTTCGTCCGAGAAAAAAATAATGAATCCAACACACTCCTACTCCCATGACATCACTCCCAAAAGCCGCAAACCTAAAACACTTTTCTCTTCATCCACGTTGAAAACAAAGCACATGAAAATAAACCTGCTGAGATTTCTTTTTTTTTTCTCATTCCGCGAAAAAAAAAAAAAAAAAAAAAAAAAAAAAATCAAAAATCGAGTTTTTTTTTTCTAAAGTTGAAAACAAAGCACATGAAAATAAACCTGCTGAGATTTCTTTTTTTTTTCTAATTCCGAGAAAAAAAAAAAAACAAACAAAAAACAAAATCAAAAATCGAGTTTTTTTTCTCTCTCTCTGCTGTAGTAACTTGGAGCTTCACGGGATTCTCATCTGTTTTCTTTTCCCTGGACGGACTTTTAAATGATGACCACCTGAAAACATCGAGCGAACCAAGGCCATCATTTCGCGAAGGCCTTTTCCTCGAAAAAAAAAATCAACTGGGGTTAGAGAACCCAATTTTCGGCTGGAAACCACCCTCGAATCCTCCCGATCGCCAGAATACTTCCCCCAATTTTTTTTTCGCGCGCTAAAAACAGGAAAAAAAAAGAAAAAGAGAGAAGTCCTCATTTTTTTGGGACAAGCTTGAAAAGCAATGTTATCCGCGACAGCTTTCACAAAAAGCGCTAAGCAGTTTTGCTCATGTATCTTTGCCCCTTTTTCAGCTGAAAACCCGGGGTTTAATCCTTTTTTTGTTGGACCACGGTTCTCTTTGGGGATGGATGGGTTCATATAACTCTTGGGTCACTTCGGATCCCACGGGAACCTGCTGAAAACAGGGATGGCCACAGACGCCTCGCAGTCAGAACATTGCAATCCAGCTCTTCCTTCAAAAACCTCCCTCTTAAAAAAAAAAGAAAAATCTTAACCCCAAACCAGATCAAATTTCCCTTCTCTCATTCTTTACACTCACGAAAAAAATGAAACCACGAAGCAAAAAACACACATTTTCCCCCCCATTGGATGGAATGGGTAAAAAGCACATCTTTGGGATGAAAACCTACACATTTTTTTTTGGAGGGGGGAGACGCGAACAAACAAACAAAAAAACAACCTCATGACTAGGCCTTTCATTGGTTTCTGGTCATCCTTGGTTTTCCAAAAAAAAAAAAAACCTTTCAATTTTACACACGAGTTTAAATCTGTATATATCCACAATCAAGGCATTTGGTTACCTATAATCAACAGACGGGAGAAAGACTTAGCTGGAATGGTCTTCACGTGTTAGCATGAGGAGGGACTTGCACAGGACCAGTGGCGGCATCTCGCAGAAACATTCGATATAGGTCTCAGCACTTAATGCCCACAAGGTTTATTTTCTTGTTTTTTTTTTTTTTTTTTAAGCTGCTGGTCATCTAAACTCCTGCCTCGAGAATCACTTGTGTCCATGTGGTCAATATCACGAACAACTTTTTCTTTGGTTCAGCAAATTTTTCAAATCTTTCTTCTTCTTCTTCGCAGCCCAGCAGGGAAAAAATCGCAGCCACCACTGGTCCTCTTTGCGTCCCGCCATTTTTTTTTGTCTTTCACATTCTGGACGGATACTTGGTTCAGTAACACCGATTTGATCCGAGGTTTTAATATCAAGAGGAAAACCGACATTCAACACTTTTTTTTTCAACAAAGCAAAAAAAAGGAACAATACATCGAGAACTCGGGTCCTGGAGAAGCATCAGCTGATGCTTCTCGAGTGTCCGTCGTTAACGTTTCAGCCTTTAAAGCTTGACCCAAGATTTTCTTCTCATTTTTTCCCCGCGTTCTTTTTTGTCTGAATACAATGGGATGACTTGCTGCTAGGACGACGTCAACAGAAAAAAAAAAAAAGAAAACGCGCCTGCGAGAAAATACTCGGATTTCCGACAAGGAGCAAATTTTTTTTCCGGAATGTACGCGGATAAAATGGTGGAAAGAAAAAAATCTTTTCTTTTTGTTTTCCGAAATTCGAAGCAAAGTTAAGAAATAAAACCCTGGGGAGTTTGTCATCACACAATCAGGAGATGTACCGAGATTCTCCTGCGATAAGAAATTCCACCCCGATGTCTAATAATTGAGATGCGCTAAAAAGAAATTCTTCTTTCGCGAAATTTGTTTTTATTTTCAAGAAAAAAAGATTAAAATAAGCCTGACAAACCATTTACACACTCATAAAATGTTTCTTCCCCGTTTTCATACGCATTGCCTTGTTTTGTTTTTTTTTCTCCTCTCCGCCGAGCTTCTTTTTCCTCATTTCCCGTCTTCTCGCGACGACGAATAATTTAATTAGGATCTGGAGAGAATAAAATCCCGGGGATGATTTTTTTTTTTCGGAGTTGGGGAAATACGGGACACTTCCGAAAAGAACGCGGTAGCAGGTGAGATGACTTCCGGGTCCTCTTCCTGTGTGGTCGCCACCATAATGGCGGAATCCGAGGAGAATCTAGAAGAATCTTCAAACAGCATCACACCTGATGGGAGACAAATGAGAAATTTTGTCAGCTCAGCAAATTAGTTTTTTAAGGGTCCAGCAGCAGAGATACCTTCATTTAATAAAATATGAATTAGTTGACTTATAGTAAAATTCTATTATAGCAGTGTTCCCCAACCCGTGGTTTTGGGAAATTTCTACGGGCATATGCATTTTTCAAAAGTAGCAATGAAAGACATTAAAGCTAGTATCTTCATCTTAAATGTTGGCAAGACAATGGCAGTTGAAATTATCCCATGAAAAATATATCTTGGCTTTTCTCCGATTAAACTTCATGCATATTTTTACCGGATTTAATGAATCTTTTCAATTTTTGAGTCTGAAAAACCTTTCTTCAAACCCACTTTTCCATTTTTTGAAGACATTCCACCATATAGCTGCTTCAATGGTTCTTGACTTTATTTTTGCAAAAGAAGCAGAAGCTGTTCAAATGCCTGCCATTCAAGTAAAACCTTTTTGAGCATGCAAATATTTTATTAAACTTTGCTGGTCTGCAGAAAATTGTTTGGAAGTTTGCCAAAAGGGTTGGGGAACACTAACTTGGGAGCATGGAAAAAGTACTGTATTTACTTGAGTACCACGCGCACCTTTTTTTTCAAATTTCAAAAGAAACAAAGGGGTGAGTGTCATAAGCAGGTACAAATTTTTCAAGAAGTTTTAGAAAGTTCTATGTGCATTATACTTAATCATAATGGAGAAATTTGGAAAAAAGTGACAAGAAAACTTTTTTGTACTGAAAAAGTTGAAAATTGGTCAGGTTTTTGTTAAATTTTTAATAATTCTAAATCCACAAAATTTGGAAAAAAGTGACAAGAAAACTTTTTTGTACTGAAAAAGTTGAAAATTGGTCAGATTTTTGTTAAATTCATGTCTAAAGTCAAACTTTTTCTTTTTATTTTCAAAATTTTGTGGATTTAGATTTATTAAAAATTGGGGTGCGAGTCATGCTTGGGGATAAGATTTTAGCCAAATTTCGAACTGAAAAAACCCTGTGCGCGCCTTACTCAAGGGCGCCTGCTACTGGAGTAAATATGGTATATCAACAAGCATGAATTAATGCGCCACCATCACTGCTTTTCAACTCACCAGCGAGGTTATTTCCCCCGGGGGTCAAGCAGGTGTCGCTCCCTCTCATGCTTTCAGATTTCTCACAGCGCGTGATGCTGCTGGTGAGCCATGTTGTGAAAGTGCGCGGAACCTGCAGCGACGGACGCGGCCGTCGGGTTGGCGGCCGACAGCAGCATCGGGTGGTGGGTCTGGGCCGGGTGGCCCGTGGCCGTCAGTGGCGAGAACAACGGACCGAAGCCCCATCCGGCGTGGGTTGCGGGGTTGCGACCAGCAGCAGCAGCGGCGGCATGCAGGGCCGAGGCGGAGATGCAGCCCCAGCCGGGGAGTCCCGCGGCGGCTGCTGCTGCGGCCGCCGCAGCCGCCGCCACGTGGTGATGGTGCTGGTGGTGGGGGTGGCCCTGATGATGGCCCCATGCCCGGTCCCCGAGGTCCGCTAAATCTGTCGGCGATTCCACATTACAACCAAACGGTTCAACACGAAAAAAAAGTCTATCTATCTTTTTTAAAACGTCGAATCCACTTTTCTCTCTCTCTCTCTTTTCCGTTTCCCCTTCCACCAACTTCAATTCATTCCACTCAACAACAAAAAAACCGCATCCGTCCAACAGAAATCGAAAAAAAGAAACCTTCTCCACACTAAAACCAAATATACCCTCGAAAAAAATAAATAAATAAAAGAAAACCATGCACCGCTATGCTACAAAAGAAAGTTGTCCAGTGAGACAGGAAAAAACCCGACGGTGTGCTATTTTATTCACTCCCCAATATGTGCACGACAGAAGCAAGAAAACCAGATCGATCCCAGCACATCAAAAAGGCAAAAAAAAAAAAAAGTCACCACATCACCGGGAAATCATTCAGAATCCAATAGTTTCAAGCCTTGAGAAAAGAAAGAGAAGAAAACCAAGTATCTTTTTTCAAACTCGGCGGAATTAAAAGGCAACAAAAATAAAATGGCCGAACGTAAGCTTCCAAAATTTGCTGGTACCCAAAAATTTCGGAAGCAGGTGAAACATTTGATTGAATACGATTTGTGCTGATTCGGGGAAGAGTGAAGAAAAGCCTCCATTTTCGTATGCCAACCTGTCCTTCAGGGCAACTTTTCAGCAGTGGAACAATTTCCATTTTCCTGGTTTTTTTTTTAGCAAAGATTATAAATTTATGTCAAATTTTCTAGCATTGCTAAACTTCGCATAGCTTCACGATTATTTCCTGCCCTGGTGATTTTTTTTCTACTTATAGAGCCTTTTGCTGGAATGTTTAATTTTGAAAACCTGTTGGATTTTCTATTTGAATATTGCAAAGATTTGTTTCGCTGAAGTGTGGGTTTTTTTTAAATTTGAATTTGGACTTCGGAACCCCGCGCAAAATAAGTTATTTCTCAGGTAAAAAAGAAGGCGAAAAATTCGGGAATTGCAGCAGTTTTAGCACTTTTTTCCGGCGAAATGTAAAGTTTTCATGAAGGACAGGTTGTCATTTTTTACGCCCATCTTTTACCCCGAATGAAATTGCCAAATAAAAAGGCGTTAAATTCTTTCTAAGAAATGTCTGATATGACGGAGGTGGATGATTGTTCCTGCATACGCAAAAATAAACACCATTACCCCGCTTTCTTACTCTTTCTCTGTCTCTCTGTCTCTCACTCTTTTCCTCTTCTCTTTTTAAAAATGGTAGGAAATAAAAAAAAAATGAAAGATGCTCTTGACGGAGTCAATTTTCAGCTGTTTCCTTCGAGTTGCCGAGAGATAAAAAAAAGGAAAACTCAGCTGTCCCCTATGAATCCAAGGCTGCCTTTTGCGTTTTGAAAGACTGAAGCGACTTGACGTCAATCAGTGGACCAGTGTATCTGAATCCCTTTTTTTTTGTGTATCTCTTTTTTTTTCTTTCAAATTTTCTTTCCATTTTTTTCATTTTGTCAAACTCTTCGACTGCCAACAGTCTGACTATATAACGAGAAAACTTCCGCAAATCTCTTCTTTCTTTCTTCTTCAATCTCTTTTTTTCTCTTTCTCATCCACGAAACACTCGGAAAAAACGTTTCTCTGTATCACAAAACTCTAATAGTTTGTCTATCGACGACGATTGCGCATATATTCCACGATATTCTTCCGAGAAAAGGAAAAAAAAAAAAACTGCGAAATCCCTAGAATTGCTTCACATTTTTTCTCTCTTTTTTTTGTGGTTGAAATTTGGGAGGGGAAAAGCAGAAAATAAAATGTACGAGCGAGTGAAACTCGACCGAATCTCCGTAAAACATTGATTTGCAGCCTCAACTTAGTATCCTTTGCTTTTTTTTTTTTTTTGGAGCAGCGAATTCCTGGTTGTCTGACAGCTGGCCTTTTTCAAATTCAGTGACAGGAAACCGCTAGGACTATTTCAAAATGGAGGTTAGAGTCATTTTCAGGCTTCTTCTGACAAAACTCACGCAATTTCAGCGTATCTGCTCCAATTTTAGCACAGTACAGTAGTTTCTTCGGAAATGACTGAATTATCGAAGCAAGTCCAGCACGATGTAGCATTTTTCCCACTCAAGGTACGATTCGCTTACGAAAAAAAATTGCAACTTTCGGCTGCCGTTTGAAAGCAAAGGATATCTTCAGCGAAGCCGCAGAAAAACAAAGTAAAATAAAAGAAAGGGAGGATCCAGTGAGAGTGAAAAGAAATTCACTGCGAGGAGGCAGAAGGAGAATAAGTCGGTGAGAAAATATAGGAGGAGCAATAAGTAAATAGAGTCGCTGTCATATCAAACCACACACAACCAGAGAGCGAAGAATCCAGTGAAGTGCCAAGTGCGTGAAGCAAGAGCCAAGTGTGAAGAATGTGTCGGGTGCTTTGGTTTTTTTTTTTTTTTTTTTTTTTCGGCGCTGCCGGAAGAAGAACTAACATCGAGTCGGCTGCAACTTGGTCGCATTCCCGGTCAGTGGGTGGGGGTTGGGTGACACTGACTGACTGACTCTCTCTCTGCACTGACTGACAGACAGGCACAGGCGGTGTGTCCACGAGTGCAGGAGACCGGGTGGGTGGGGCACTTCTGAGGGCGGAGAGTGTTGGTGGTTGGGGGGCGGCGGCGAGAGAGACAGGACACAACCCCGATTGGCGACGACGGAGGGACAGGGATGACGCTGGGAATGGAGGGACGGGAAGGTGGCTAGGGTTTTCGTGGTGGAGGGGGAGGGAAGGAGGAGAGGTTTTGCCCTGCCCGCCCCTTTCACAGCTGCGACGCGCGTCTGGACGGAATGTTCTTGATCAATTTGTTTTTTTTTCCTCTCTCTCTCTCTTTTTCTTCTTCTTCTTTTGGTTCAGAAAATGAGGGGAATATGTGAACACAGGGAACAAGGACGGTGGGCAGGGGCAATATGGGGGGAGAGAGAGAGAGAGCGGGAGACAGGGAATGGGAATGGGTATACAAATGGGGAGGGGGAGGGACTTGCTGTACTGCGCAGGGACACTCTCAAATGTTGCCTTACCAATTGCTTGCCAAGTTATTATCCTGTGAATCTCGGAATTTTGAAATACCCCTCCAAAAAAACCTTTGACTTTAAAATTTTCCATTCATGCAAATTTGGCTTCTTGTCATGAGACACATTTTTCAGCTGAAACAGCGCACATATCTGCCTTTCGTAACCAGGTATGCATTTATGGTTAAAGACACTAGCAACATTTTTCAAGCAAACTCAAGTAATTCACATGTCCTGGAAATATTGCAGATTTTGCCTTTGATAAGCGAGCTGACACCGCAAATAAGCATTTAGCTTCAAAAAGCGCATCTTTATCTATTGTTTTGGCGATTCGGGAATGCTGAACAAAAAAATCTTTGCTAAAATGAGGCATTGAAGAAGTGAGTTTGGCAGCAGGCGGGCGACGATTTGGTCAGGCAACATTGGGTGGGAAACCCACGCAGTACAGGAAAGGGAATATATGTAGGGTACATATGTATATCTATATATATATATATATAGTTTTTTTTTTTTAATTTTCTCTCTTGTCCGGGGTACCGCGATGAGGGAATCAGAGGTAGGAGCGGACAGGGACCTGGGCTGCAGCCGCCGCGGCCGCCGCAGCGGCGGCCGGATGGAACGCATGGTTGAGGATGTGGTGGTGGGCAGAGTGGGACGGGTGGTGGGTGTGGTGATGGGACAGCGTCGTGCCCGGGGTCAGCTGGCCCAGCTCGCCGGCAGCGACCGAGTAGGCCAGCGCCGCCGCGGCCGCCGCCGGGTGGTGCGCCCACAGCTCCGCCGGCGCCGGCAGAAACGCCCCGCTTAGTGGCTCTGAAAAAACGACAACACATGCTCGTTTTTGTCCATTCTCTCCAACCGCGTCTCTCAAGTCACTCATGATTAAACGAAATAACGTTGACAAATTATATTCCGCGTGAACTCTGATGCTGATTTTCTTCTAATTTTTTTTTTACAAGTAGGCAGGCGTTTGCAAACTCATTTTTCTGTCTTTATCAGCTATAAATGCAACATTTTGCTGCGTTTTCTTGGAAATCTTCAAGAAGGATTTGAGAAAATCCAATCCGTTTCAGCTGCTTGTCATAAAAATGTGATGCTTTTTTTCTAAATAATGGCCAATGAGGAAAATTTTTCATTCTGGAACATTTCAAAATTTTTTGAATACAGGTGGTACCTTACAATTTGACCTACAGCAATTTGATCATCCTGCAATTTGACAGTCAAATTTGCAGGGAGGTTGATTTGCAATTTTACCCTTGCCCCACAATTTTACCTGCTTTGGTACCTTTTTTTTGCATTTTTGTACTGATATTTTTGAATTTCACAGTGTAGTCTTGCAATTTGACTGCTTTGCAATTTGACTGCTTTGCAATTTGACCATTTTGCAATTTGACCACTTTGCAATTTGACTGCTTTGAAATTTGACTGCTTTGGAATTTGACTGCGTTGCACTTAGACCCCTTTGCAATTTCACCCTAATTTGGCAATGGATTAGGGTTGAATTGCAAGGTACAGTTTTAATTGTTGAAATGCAGTGCAGTTTTCTTGAACAAATTTTTTGTTCTCGGGGCTGTTCTACAACAAGGGTTGTTCAATGTCTGTGTAACATCACAAATTTAAAGAGCAGTTGAACAGGTCCAAAGATTTAAAAATTCAAGCATTATGTTAGTGGGTTCTGGTGATTTTTAGAGAATTAATTAAAGATTCATTCAGTACACTGCACGATGAGAGATGAAAACTGTCAGTGATGACAAGATTGCAGCATATTTATTTGCAATGTTCTTATTTCTTAATCAGTCATTCATGGGCAACTTTTTTTTCAGAATATCTCATGCATCTTGAGAAACAAAATTCAAAATTTGATGAGCCGGAGTATCCAAAAAGGCCCCTTTTCCAAGAATGGCTTAAGACTGAAACCCCAGGAGAAACATTAATTCATTTTACAATGCTTGATTATAACATTTGTCAAATTTACCTCTCTTAATTGTATGCGTGTACTCATATACCCTGTTCTCTGGCCACTTTGAGTATTGCCTTCATGATAATTGTAAAAAGTCTGGGTACTTCTCTCAGCCCCATTGGGAGTGCTTTAAAAATATAATGCCTTTCCTCCCATATGAAAACAAAAAATCTCTGATGATCTGAATGTAACGCCACATTATGATATCCCTTTTTCAAGTCTAAAATGTCATGAGGTCTCCTCTATTAATTCCCTGAGTGATCAAATTTAAATTTTCCATTTTGAAGTGTTTATATGGTACACACTCCGTGTTTACCGCCTTGCTGTTAAGTATCAGGCAGAAAGTTCCATTGTGATTTTTTTTAAGGTAATGTCCGTTGGAACAACCCCAAGTATAAAAAAATATGATTGGCGCCAATTTGAAACAAAACTTGAAGAAATACAGCATCAGAGTTCACTCAAATCTAAGCATTCAAAACCCGGTCCATCCGTTACACACACAAAAAAATGAACAGAACAATTTTTTTTCAGCAGAAAATTTTCAGCTAGCTCCTCCAACCATTGCAACATGTGCCTCCAGGTATACCATGAAATACAGCCAACTCACATTTATCAGTGCCGCCTGTTTCTTTTTATTTATTTTTCATTTCATGGTGTCACTGCTTGTTTTGTCACATTCGTTGTCAAATAACTCATTAGGGCACTGTATAACAAGAGTTGACTGCATATTCCTCAGCGCAAAAGCAATTTCTCCCACAAGGAACATGAATCCACACAATTTTAGAAACTTGAGAAATATTTTGCTTGAGCATATAACCTTCAAAATTCTGTAATGAACAATTTTTTGAGCAAGAACGAGGGCAAAATTTTACCTTTCCATTTCTGCCCTGCCTCATCTAAAAGCGAGATTAAAGGCTGAAATTTTTGAATTTTTCGGTGCAAAGATTTTTATTTGCGAAAGCAATAGTGCAATACGTTATGTGATTTTTTTGGAATGAAAATGATATCATGTAAAATTGATGTTGGAAGTCTTTTCTTATGTACCCACAGTATTTTATTTTTTGTACAATGGCGTACGTGCAGAAGCCTGAGAATTTCAGAGGAGGAAGAAAAAAGATGCAAAAGAGTTTTTCGATAAATTATCCATGGATTTCAACCAAAACATCGTCAGAAAATCCGTTTAACCCGTAATTAATCGCATGCATGTTCGTTCCTTGTGAGGATCACTTGATGAAAAACAAAATGCATCATCCTTCCGAGATTTTGAAAAAAGCGAGAAAGAGAAATAAAAAATAAATAAAAAACAGTAGCCGTCAGAGTGATTCGCCGCAAAACATCCATCCATCCCATTCAAGGTGCTCATCGTTCAATACAAGAAAATTTGCCACTATAAAACCCCAGGAGTGTTTCGGTGAAAGAAAACTAATCTTTGAAAATGAAAGAACTTGCAGAAAAAAAAGGAGAGAATCCAGTGCGAGACGTAGAAATCTTTTGCACCAACGTGGGGGGAAGAAAATAAAGACCTTTCGTTTCCTTCGAGTTAGTCGCTCAGAAAAACAAATTACCTTAAAATTTAGCGAAATATTTCAAGCGTTAGTTGGCTTATTTTTTTCGCTCTTTCTATCTATATATATTTTTTTTCCAAGAAGCCAATTTTTTTGGTTTGTCCAGAAGCGTGAGAATCAGTGGGAATATAAAGAAACCTTTTTCCGACTCGGCCAGCAATAAAAGAGAGAACCCGAATTTCGCTTTCATTTTTTCTTTTCTTTCGCAGCTTTGATTTATTTTTTTTCTTGCTAATGTGTGTCATTTCCGCCGTACGTCGGATGTCTCACCTTGGATCGTGTAAGAATCGAAACCGTATCCAGTTGCGTAGCTATTGACTGCTGGCGACGCAGACATCATTAAGGCACCTTCGAAAATGGATTGTCCAATATTTTTTTTCTCTTTTCCCCTCGGGCTCACAAATTTCTCGTGCCGTAACATTTTTTGTCATCGAAAAAAGCAAGTAAACTGGTGTTGTTGCATTTCTGTCCTCACTCTGGAGACTATATATGATTGCACCCTTTTTTTTCTCTGTTTCTCGCGGGCTTTCGGTCCGTGTGGCTCTTTTTTCTTTTCTGGCGGGGTTTTGGGCACGAGAACGGGAGGCAGAGAAAGGATATACTTACGCCCGGTGAGAGGGTGCAGAAGTGCGGAGTGGTGAGGCAGAGCTGCGGCTGGTGGTGAGGCCAACTTAGGCTTACTGACTTTCGTGTTGGTTTTCGCAAACTCCAATCGAATCGTCTGTGGCAGGTTAGGATCAAAGCGTACACCCTGTGGGAAAATATATGCACGTTTCGAGAAGGAAGAAAAAAAATATATGCATGACGAGGCGGAGAAGATGACGGGAACCGATTGATTAAAAATAATAAGCGACCGGAAAAAAACAAACAAAACAAATCGATCAAGTTTTGTTGTTGTTGTTGTTTGGTTTCTTTTTATTTTTTCCAGGGATGATGAGATATTATGGGAGAAGAAGCGGAGACAGGGCAAGTAAAAATAATTGACCAGAAGTTAAAAATAAACAAATAAATAATTCTAAATGACGAATAAAGTCGGTCTTTTCAACCTCTCCAAATTTTTATAATCATAATTATTTTTAAAAAATTTCAAAAGGAGCACATTTCCAATCAATACTTTTTTTCCGAGTTTAGAAAAAAAAAACATTTCTTCACCTAAAGAAAATTTGTATTCTCAATAATCCTTCATCGGAATACCGCGAAATTAATCCCAAAAGAGGAAATTGATTTCGAGAACTATTTATTTTTTCCGTGAGAGCTGACAGGCGCATTTTAGCATACATTTTCAAAAATATAATTTGCGAAAATTAGTTCCAAGAAAACTTGCGTGTATATTCAACGTTTGAATGCAGTTCACGAAACGCAAATGAATCCTGTGAATTCAACTCGGATTAGAAACTTGAATTCTTGCGAAAATCTGCGGTTATAAAATGATTTCCGATATTGGCGAGAAACGAACTTTAGGGAAATATTTACTTCTTGTGAGCATCGAACAATTTTTTTGTTTCCAGTTGAAGAAGGTTGAAAATTCCCGACACGTCATCATATATTTTATTGTACGTATTTGTAATTTTGCTTTTAAAAAGTTTAAAAAGAAAAAAACGCGTGATTCAAACAACCAGAGTCTGCACAGTGAAATAGGTTTGTGCAGCGACCGGATTTGTCATTTCATTTGGAAAAAAAAAATTCCGGAAAGAAAAATACGAGCTTTGTCTCAGCCAAAAAAAGAGCAGCGGGTGATGATAGCATTGCTTTGAGTGACGGAACGGAACTGACGAGTGTGCAACAAAATTCTTTTCCCCCGCCCCTACATCTGAACCTTGTTTGCAAAAGTATTTCCAGCTTGAAATGCTTAGCCTACGTACAGATGTCGCTGTAATGTCAAAAAGGTGATCCGGTGAGATAGGTGTAAGACCCAAGTTTCGCCGGGTGTGTGCTTTTCACCACAGTGCACAACTTCAACACCGTGTCCGTGATCGTATTTCTTTTTCTTGAACCGATTCCTCACGTTTTTTTTTTTATTTAAACAAAACGAAGCATTGTTTTATTTGAAGTTCGAGACTTGAATTAGCAATTCTTTTTATCAAAAGAAACCCGTCCGAAAAATAAATTAATTTAATATTTGCTTCGGGCTTGCCAAGGATTTCTTTTTCTAAGCAGCAAAACACGAGTTGTTAAAAATTTTTTGCTCAGCGATTAAAATTTTCCAGGTCTTCCATTAATGGAAAATTTGATCTTTCTAGCATAGAACTGAACTAATTGAAGTCAGGAAAAAAAAGACCTGTCATTTCAGTCGAGCTCAATTTCCAACCAGCATGAAATCAGCGAGATAGATCTGCCTAAAAACCGTGGATTCAATTTAAAAACGTTGGGGCGTCAGATAAAAATCGAGATGACCCGCAAATTATTATTGTTCCTTTTTTTTGCCAGTAACACGGGGATTTTATTATGTTAATTCCATGGACCACGAAATGCAGAAATGGTTCACAAGCCCGGGTTTCTGATACACATCGCATTTGCGCGAGTGGATTTCGAAATGCTGTCACGCGTCGCGAGAATTAAATTAAATTTCGCATTTTCCTCTGGAATGCACTGACCGAATCATTATTATCATCACTATCATTTCGAATTGAAATTCAGTGAAGGCAAAAAAATTAATGCGTTAATATTTAATCGCCTCATCGTCGGAGAATAAAAAAAAAACTTTCGTGGAAACTTGCGTTTATACCAACGACCGACTTTCTCTCGTTTGAATTAATAAAACATATAAATATAAAGAAGGCGATTTTTCCTTTAAAAATAAAACAGAGATTCCAGTTGAATAAATCCAGAATAAATGAGCTAGGGATGGTTCAAAAGTTCTGTCAGTACCTCGAAAATCAAGAAACCTAACACCGAAACATAAATGGTTCGCATATGATCACGGCGAGCTTTTTTTTTTTTTTCGCACCGATTGACATTTTAAAAGAAGCTTTTAAAATTTGCACGAATGGCACAAAAGGCGTCCAATATCACGATACTTTTGTCGGGGACATATACTGTATTCGGGTATGAAATAGGGGTGCAAATAATATTTTCCCTCACTTATTCAACATACTGTATATTCGATAGTTCCACATGAAATAATTTTTCATCGAAACGTGCGAGAGTGTGGCAAGTATAAAGAAACCTCATTTCCTCACAGTGATTTGGTGCGCTTTCAACTCTGTGTCTTCTCATCTCCGTTTCAATTTCAGTGAGCGAAAAATTGGAACCGTGGAATGACGAAAAATTACTTTAGTAAAAAATAAAAAGCCAACCCCCGTTCGTCCAAACGATAGAAAAGCTCAGGACTGACAAAACCTATGAACCAACCCTTTTTGTAAGAGTCTGGGTCAATCCCGTCATCGATGCTCCACGAAGCAAAAGAGGAAGAATGAGGCGATTCGGGATCGTCTGCAAAATACGAATCCGATCCTTCGCTGCGAAAATTTCACCTGCGCATTTCGTTCATCAATTCCAGGATAAAACGAAATCTAAATTTTATCATTTCGGTCGACAGAATTGGGACAGAAACAAAACGCAAAAAAAAAGATGAATAGAAGGTTTTGCTCACCTGTAAATCCTGCTTCGCAGCCTCGGCACCGGCTCGTGTGTTGAAAGTCACGAATCCCACCGGCTGTTGATGATGATGATGATGATGATGATTACAGCAGCAACACAAGCACAAAACATAAGAAAACATAACAAAAGCAAGTATATAAATTCGAGGGTATACATAAAAAACAAACGATGACGTAGATACGTCAGAGAAATTAACGCAACTCTGTTTCTTTTATAATTCTCCCTCGATTGCTGCACTTCGATCATAATGAGCTGAAGCACGAATACGACTATACAATTATTATTTTTTTCATGCCGAGCTTTTGAATTTCAACTCATTTCCGAATTAATTACGGCAAGAACGGTTGAGGTAAGTATTACCGAGTTTTCCCCGGAAATTAGGGAGCTTTCACATGATTACTTTCTCCTAAAAATAGACTAAAATTGTTTTCTGAGAGCAGCTTCAGGGCAAAAAACAAAAATTAAGTTACCAATACGTAGGGAATATTTATAAAATTGGAAGTAATATTTTGCGGAATTTTCCAGACAGAGCAACAGACTAAGAATCTCAACAATTATGTGAAGAATTTCGGACAATAAGAACTTTCGATTTGACAGCTACAATCTCGTTAAAAAAAATCGAATTGAACGTGAAGCTTTTAAAAATGTACTCCTATATTTTTGCAAATGGGTTCGGTCAGAGAAATTTGTTTCTGTTTTCGAAATAATTTCCATGAAGTTTAAAAAAAAAAAGCGGAACTCACCGAAGTATTCTTGCCGTTTTTGTTGGTAACCTTGAGCTGGGAACACTCGAATCCCTGCGAAAGAAAAACATCGAAGACGATTTGCATGAATTATGGTTATTGCACGATAAATCCTTGAGGAATTCGATCAAATCCGTGCACATCAAAATACAATACAGTACAGTATTCGAATGACCACAAAAAAATTCGTCCGTCATGAAATTGTTGAAATGATTCTTGAGCAGTTATCAAAGATTGAAAAAAAATCATGCTTTTCAACGATCCGATTGACTCGCTTCGGAACTCGATCTGATCGCTGTAAAAATTTTCCGCTGTCCAAATTGTGCAATTTTATTTTACAAAATCATGCCAAACACTTTTTTGAACTCCCAGAGCATCTTTTTCGACAGTTCTTACAAATGTCGAACTCCAACGGAATTTCAAAAAAATTTGCAGAAGTTAAATTTACTGACAATTCTGTAAGTGAATTCCTACAGACAATTCGGAAGAATACGTCGCCAGAAAATTCAGAATATATCCTATAAATAAGCACATCAGACGACGCTTGAAATGAAAATTTGCCAAGAGGACAGGAATAAAATCACGCCACACGAGATTGATGAAATAATAAAGATTATTTAGAGCATTGATCAGAGAATAAAAAAAACAATAATGCTTCCATTGATTCCAAGTCGAAAATAAATCGGAATTCAGATTTTCCCGAAATTTCAGTAACCTTTCCAATGGATTCCATCAGAAATCCTTCAAATATCTTCGGAACCGTTTCTAGAAAATCGCGACAATTCCTAGAAATTCAAATTTTTCTTGGATCTCGAAACAGTTTGGAAATGCGGATTTGAAAAAAATTGATTGAAAGAACCCTTGAAATAAATACCACGAGAAATCCCTCACGAAAATCCCAGGAGCGGTTATATACCCACCCATCAGCAGAGAACGAACCCTATTGCGACAATTTCTCGAAAATCTTTCGATAATTTTCTACATAGAAATTCGAATTCACGTCCACTTCAAAATATGAAATTGAAAAAAAATATCTATCAAGAATAATACTGTACTGCTATATAAATAAGCACCATCAGACGACGCTGGAAATGTTGATAGAGTGCTGATAGCAGGAAAACGCCTTGGGCGGATTCCCCGGCAAGATTTCGCAGCCCGGGTTTCCTCAACAACCCACGACCTTCGTGCACTCAGCATATTAACCCGTTTCCCC